TCAATTGCAATCCAAGGACACTCACATATTTGCGAAGCTACCGTATAAGTACCAGATCAGTATGGAGATGCCCCAGTGGCGGATCATGTTCTGGTAGCTTCTGTTCACAAGTAGGAGCAAACACACACATACCCGAACTAGTCGAGGTTATGGACAAGCCCGGGAGCAGTGGCTGTTTGGAATCCTCCGCTCTATGGAGTAAAGGATGCGGATTTCCAACTGCCAGCTGCTATTTCTACCGTTGGTATGCTATCCCTATGACTCTCGATGTTTTTGAACTTTTCGAGTGTCCTACTTGGGATTTTCACATAAAGACGACATTACAACTCACTGTTAATGACCAAATCGTAGAGGAGACAGTCACATTACATCCGGGATTAACCCATCATTGGGCCAACATATCACTTACACCAATTTCAGTGACGAACCCTCCAGCTCCGGTTTTGAGCACTCCATTCCTTACTCATGGATTTTCGGTTGCTCTAGGAGACGGAGTCCCAACAGACCTAAAATGTCAAGATAGGCCGAGTGCAGCCGGGTTTGGCTGCAATATTTCATCAAATACCTGTAAAGATTGCCGTCCTACACCCGACGGATCAATTACATGCCAGTGTAGAGAATTTGACGGGGAAGCAATTTTGGCAGACCCCGTAAAACGATTACCTCTAACTATTGGCCGACACACTTTTCTGACTGAAGACGACCAAGTATACGTCGAACAGTCATATACTCCTATACAGATCAATCTACAAATGAATAATTTCCAGTTAGTGACAGAAATAACCGAGTCCACTTGTCAGATAACAATAGATGACGTTAGTGGCTGTTATCGCTGTTTAACAGGAGTTCAAATCAAATATTCGTGCTCGACCGATTTTGGGTCGTCACTTGCCGACATCAGATGTGACGATGGTATTCATTTTATTGCTCGATGTTCCTTTAATGGAACTGAAGGAGCAGCACATTTTGCCTACAATAGATCAAAAATTGACACAGAGTGTCAAGTCAAGTGCCCAGGAGGAAATAGTCAATTACACATCAAAGGACAGCTCTTATTTATTCCAATACAGTGGAGGCAAGAGCGAATTGTCCAATCAAGTAAAGGTGAAAAATCCTCAGCATGGAATTTTAATCCATTAAGATTTCACCCGATTTCGCTTATAATGACAAGTTTACCGCTTCCATCTCCATTATATTTATTACTAATATCCACTTTAGTAATAATTGCAATTTATAGTATTCTGCGTTTTAAATTCGCAATTTGGAGAAAAATGAGCTCTCTGCTCATCACAAGTTTATTAATAAACAATTTTGCTGTCGAGGGGGAAGGGGCTTTGCGCCCATTATTAATTTTTGGCAATCATAGCCTTCCACCCCCATCCATTCACATTTATTCACAAATCGCGACCTACCCACCCTCAAAACAAAAAGAGAAAATTTGGAATGGGCACGAGCAAGCCAAACAGATGGCAAGCCAACTTAAAATGTTTGCCACTCACCCATTCGTTAAAAATAAATTGTCGAGCCATTCTTTGATTCAACTAACTTTTGGCTCTTTTCGTCTTTTGTTTATAAGAAAAAATTTATTTTCTTATACAAAAGAATGTGCAAAAACACTTAACTTAGTTTTGCACACCACCAAAAGCCATCAACACATTTCCATCTCTAAACTTTTGTCAAAGAAAGAAAAAATAAATTTTTTCTCTCCTTTTACAAAAGAGGGCACAGAAATAGCCAATCCACATATGTGTAGAAAAAATAGCGCTCACTGCTTTAATAGCAAAGCGTACAAAAAAGAAGAGTTTGGGCCAATGTTCACAACTCCGCCCAACTCAAGTTGTTTATCTACTTCCCCCAGAAAATGTTTTTTCATTCTCATTTCAACAAAAATATTTTTTAATAATTTAAATAAATTTAGGCTAATTTATTTTGCGATAATGCCGCTAGGCGATTTCTTTGCTGTTCCTCCTCGCAAACCAGGGGAAACCAGAGACGAATATCTGCAAGCTTGCCTTGCTAAAGGATATAATCCCACTCTTCCGGAGAAAGGTCAGAGTATGGCTGATTATATTCCGAAAGAGCTGGGACTGATATTTTTCGACTCCTTGTGTGGAAATGAAGCACGCCGTAGGGGAGAAGGCCTGCTTACGTTTTTTTGGGAAAAACTCAGATGCCATGGACTTCCTTTGCCTGATGAGGAACCATGTTTAAGCCGGGCAGCCAGGGAGGAGCTTGTTGAGCCAAATTTAACCGTGGCTCAATTTTTTCGAAATAAAGGAAGGGCCTTGACACACCCGGACCTCCCCTGCATTATCATTAAGGGGGGAATCCGTGGCTCGTCAAGAAAGAGCCGAAGACATGCTAGAGTTGTTGGACACCAGTGCTGGAAGGTGGGAGAGTCCCACAAGAGCTTCTTTCCGTTGGAGCAAATCATTTACGATCCGACTGAACCGGATCCAAGTTTTGGAGGAAATGCGGCCACGGGTTTCACCCCGCCAAGCTCACCGCCACCAGAATTACCACCAGGAGAAGGCCCATCAACTGAGGAGGAACACGCAAAAGAAAAAGAAAACAATGAGCTTAAAATTAGCTTTCCGCGAGGAGGACCCCCGATTCGCGCGCTCTCAATTTTGCTTTTTATCGCGGTTTTTACCGCTTCCGTGAATGAAAATCTCGCTTGTTGCATTAATTCACCCGATATTTCTCTCTCTCATTTTAATTATTTCTTGCCTATAGAAATGAAAAGAAATTCTTCTAACAACGGCAACAACAAAGCGGAAAAACGAGCAAAGGAAAATCTCTACCTAGAAGTTTTCGGGCCACCAACTTCAGCTGCTCAGCAGCAAGAAATGGAACAACATTTAAAAGAAATGAATGTTGAACAACTTTTAGAAATTGGAAATAAACCAGTTATGGCGGTGGCACCAGAAGAAATGGACAACTCTACCACCAGCACTTTATTAAAAGCAACATCGGAAATTATTAAAAATAAAGAAATTAATAAAATTAATTCTGCCTCTCAAGATGGAAAACAAATGGTAGAGAAACAACAAGAAAAGAAAGAATTGCCTGCGGCAACAGCTAAAGAAAATGCATTGGTTGTTTCTGTAGGTGAGGGAAAAATTGAATTGGGGGAGAGTAATAAAGGGAACATTTTAATGCCAGATCTCAAGGCTAAATTGGAGAAAGATCGCTTAAAACAAGAGAGGCAGAACCAGAAAAATCAAGCCCTCGTTGAAGCGTTCTTCTCTTTTGCGCAGAAGCTGACTGCTCAACAAACAGTGGTCAATGCGCCAGCAGCCACGGGGGGAGTTTGTGAAGGGACCGCCACTCACAAGGAAGCGGTCAACAAAATTGCGGTAACCACTCCCGCTCAAGCACAGTGGAAATGTTCTTCTTCATCTGGGCGCTCTAATGGTGGAGAAAGAGAAAAGAATTTAGGTGAGCAAGATCGGGTTGAGTCCATTGACCGTTATTCCCGTTCAGGTTCTGGGCGTTCACATTGGGGAGTTTCTGATCAACATACAGAAACTTTGCGAAAGGTCCGAACTACCACGGGTCAACTTTGCGGTCAGATTTCTGATGCAATTCACTCTGTGGAATCTGGGAGAGCCAAGTTGACGAATGAGGAAGAACATGACTTACTGGCTATCGATGGGGCTGCGAAGAGATTGATGAAATCGATACACATTGCATTTGGACATACACGTCGTTCTCGCTAAACATTTTTTTTGTTTTTTGCCGGGGGGAGTGTGCCCAAAAGGGCATAAGCCCTACACTATTTTCCCATTCCTCTCGCATTGTTATATTTACGTACTATTTTTATTTACCGCCCACAATTTATTTTGTTTAACCACGCCTACTTTTGGCTGTCAAGTTAGCGCTCGGCTGTCCCTAAAATCACTTCTTTCAATCTTCTTTCAATTTCCAACTTCTCTCAAAATCTTATAATTTTCTAATTCCTTTAAACCCAATCAATTAAACCAACTTTTCTCCCTTCAACTGGGAGCAGGAGAGCGGAGCACTAACTTAAATTATTTGTTCGCATTTTCACCACATATTTTAATCACCAATTTATTCACACCGCGGATCCCGAGCTGTTATCGGACCGCTAAATTTATTTGTTAATTAAATAAATCTTTTCTTCTTTGGTGTGTGTATTTTTGGGGATTTTGGGTAGGCTGTCGTCGTCATCATCGCTTATAAGTTTAAGAGAACTTTTGAGTTCTCTGTCCTCCCTTTATAAGCGTCCGTCCCTCCCATAGCCGGAGGCCGTACAAATTGTGTGTCCACCCGAAAGGGCTTTTGGGCACAAGAGTTTATTTTTAATGAAATATTTTTTTCGCCTTTCTCGACTTATTATTTTCATGTGATTTATACAAAAAATAAATTTATTTATTTATTTACTCCAAAAAATAATTACTAATATATTTATTAAACACAAATATCATTAAATCATTCTATGTATAATATCTCCTTCAAATAATCTAGTTCAAAATAATTCATTCTTTGTTTTTGTTTTGATGCTTTAATTAAAGAAAAGCTAAAAATAACTAATAATCAAATAAACTAAAAATTAAAAAAGCCCTCCCCTTTTTTTTATTAAAAAATTAATTAAAATTTAAAAAAGAATATTTTTAATTAATTTTATTTATTCTAATCAATTTACAATTTTCTAATAATAATTTTACAAAACAAAAATATTTTGAGGGAAATAACTGACTTTTAGTCCTCTTTTTTAGTGGTGATTGAATTGTGTTTTGTAATTACTAAATTGTAAATATATATCACGTTATAATTTAACGCCTCACTTCCTTTCCGTTTTTAATCAAAGAAATTCATTCATCTCTTTTTACTTTTTTCGTTCATTCAAAAATTTATTTTTTTTTAATTATTTTAATATTTTTTTCTCTCTCCGCCTTTCTTCCTTTCATTTAAAACAGAAATAATATTTTTTAGCCAATTTTTTTTCACTTTTAATTATTTACAAAAAAATCTAAATGTCTTCATCATCATCATCACCTCCACGTACTTTTATTTATTCACTTCTTCCAAGTGCCGCTAATGCCCTCTTCCAAAAAGTTTCGGTCTGTTCTCTCCTCCTTCCCCCTCCCTCCTTTCCCCTTTACTTTTTTTAAATCAAATAATTTTTTAGGTAATTTCACTTGAAATCCTTTCTGGACTTTGTTTTTGTGCAGAATTTGGTCATAGAGCAGTTTTAAAAGCATTGACTCAAGTTAAATTACTTAGGGGAGAAAGAACGAGATTTCAACGTTTAATTGACGGTAAATAAATTAAATACATAAATTAATCTGATAAAAAAATATTTTAATTTAATTTTTAGATTTATTTAAAGAACATGGAAACACTCCGAGGGATACTGCTCGTGTTAGACTTGCTCTTATGTCTTTGATAAATGCTTTGCTAAAAGGAGGCGCTGCAGAGGTAAATTTAATTTTAATTTAAATATTTATTTATTTTGTATAAATTCCCTTAATTTATTGTTTATTTTAAAAGGGGATTAATTTAAACAAAAAAATTTTTTTAGTTTGGCATCAGATTAAATTTTTTCTTTAACTAGTTTATTTATACAAATCTTTATATTTTGAAAATAATAATAATTTGAAAATAACTTAATAAAAAATAAAATCTCGCTTGGCTTGTTTTAACTTTAATTTATTTACCAAGAAGGAGATATGTATATTTAATTTTTTGGTGTCTGATCAACCAAAAAAATTTCAGATAATTATTTTGTATTTATCTTGTGTTTTGATTTATTAAAGCAATTTTTGAGTAATTATTTTTTTGGAATTTTTGGAATTTTCGAGATAAGACTTTTACAACTTATTAAAACTTAAAATGCTTAATAATCACTAATTAAATTAGTTTAAAAAATTAAATATATTAATTTCTTTGTTTAATCAAAACCGGAAGATGTTCACAATTTTATATTTAATAAAACGTTCTCTTTGTTATAAAATTTATTTTTATTGCGCATTGTGACATTTAAATTAATTAGATATAGAAATTAATTTTGCAACTTTTTCTTCTTTTTTTTCTTTTCTTTTTTAAATTTATTTTTAATGACCGCCTTTTTCTTTTATAAAAATTATTTTCAGTTTATAAAGTTTTATTTCCTGCTTAGCAGAATTTAATGTGTTTTTCGTTCTTTTTTAAATTAGTTTTTAATTAACAACAGTAGTTTTTACTTTAATTTTTAAATAATAATTTTGTTTAAATGTCCAACAATATCTAAATAAATATAATTAAATAAAAAAATTCTTCCTAATTTTAAGTAAAATCCTATTAAATACTACACTAAATTGTTCTCTATTTTATTCTCACCATAGGGAATTCTTTAAAGGATTAAATATAAATAAATAAATAAATATATGTATTTATTCCTTTCTCCTTCTGCGCATTTTTGTGTTAATATTTAAAACGAGATAAGATTTATTTATTTTGTTAATTTATATCCCCTATTTCTTTACTTTTCCACAATTTATTCATTACAACAATTCTTTTAAATATTTTAAATTAAAAATTTGTAAATTTTCTGCAAAATTATTTTTCTTTGGCTTTTAACCTCAAAAAATTTAAAATAAAGCAAAACACACAACTAAATATTTCCTTTTCTGTTTGTTTTATATATTTTCTACTTATTTTAATATGCATTTAAATAAGAAGATTTTATTTTTATTTTTTTATAAAAAATAATAATTTTTATCCAAAAAAAACTTTTTTTTTTAAATTAATGATTCAGCAAATTCACCTTTTAAAAAAATCCAGAAAATTGCTAGTTTCATTTTTTAAACTTTTATTTTTAAAATTTTTATTTAAAATTTTAAAAGGTAAATAAATATAAAAAGATGTATTAAATAGAAAATTTTTGGAACTGACATTTTATAAAAAATATATTTTAGAATTTTTGTATCTATTATGTGCTCATTTATTATCTCCATTAAATTCCCCCAAAATTGCTTGTTTAATTTTTCTTTTATTTAAACTTTTCCGTAAACTTTTTTTGTTCTTTTTTAAATTATATTAAATTAGGGCATATAAACACAAACAATTATTTCTTTTAAAAAATGTTTTTGTTCCGTTTGTCCATTCAGTTGCAAAAATAAGGTACAAAAAATTATTTTCCGCGCATCATCTTTCATTTTATAAAAATATTTTTTTCTTTCTTTTTCCCCTTCCCTTCCCCTTCCCTTCCCCTTCCCTTCCCCCCTTCCTCTACCCCTTCCTCCTATTCACGTAATTCCCGTCATTTTTCTTCTCGATTTTTAGGTTTATCTAAAAATCCTTTTCAATCTTTCACACATTTGTTTTTATTTTTGCACAGTTCAACGCCAATTCTTTTCAACCAAAATTACAAAATTACAAGAAAAAATATATAATTTAATTAAAAAAATTTTTTTAATTAATTAAAGGAATAATTTAAAACTTTTTTTTAAAATATTTTTTATTCAAAAATTAATTTAATAATCTCCAAGAAATTATTTTTGAACATCTCGAAAAGTCCTTGGCCTTGATCTTCTTCTTATTTTTAAATAAATACTTCTTTAAAAAATAACTGTTTTTAAATTTATTTATTTTTCTTTACAAAAATTGGTCAGCTGGAAAATAAAAAATTATTTTTTTTCTGTTCTTTTACTTTAAACCAAAAAATTATTCAACAATTTTAGGTCATTCCTTCTTCTACTATATATTTATTTGTATTTTAAAATAAGCTTTAACTGTTTCTCTTAAATATTTTCTCTGTTATTTTATTTTTAATGTAAAATTTTTTAATTAAATTTATTTACTTTTAAAAAATCTGTTAATGATTTTTGAACAAAATTATTTTATTTTAATTAATTAATTTTTAATTTTTTAGACTTTTTATTTCAATCAAAATTTTTTTTTTCTTTTAATTAATTAAAAAAACAATTTTTAGTAAGTTCTTCTTCAAAGTCTCACTTTTACAAACATTTTTTTCTCAATTTTTAATTTTCAATAAAAAAATATTTTTATTAAATTTGTTTATTTACAAAATTACCTAACAAGTTTTTGAAGTTTTTCTTCTATAAATTTTTAATTAAAAATAAATAAATTATACATAGTTCTTATTTTTCTAACAGTTATTTTTTAAATTCAATTTTAAAATACAAAAAGATTTTTCTAAAAATTTCAGTTTGAACAAACAAAGCTTTTTTTAATTTGTTTTCCTTCAATTCTTTTATATTTATTTTTGTATTTCTGTATGTTGTTGTTGTTTGTTGCCATTTTTGACTCATCCATCAATTACTAAATAGCAACAATCTACATCATTATTGATTAAAATAATTTAAATATTTTTATTTTTAATTTTTTCCCCATTTTTAACATTAAAAAATAAAAATTTTTAAATTAAAAGAAAATATTTTTATCACTTTTCAGCATTCCCTAGAATATCGGATACATTTACGGCACGAGTTCTTAATGTTGGGAATTGTTCAAGTGCTTGAACAAATCCGTTCGGCCGCTCCAGAAGGTTCTGGTTCTGCATTAGATGATCATATTGATCTTTTTGAAATGATGAGACAAGAAGATGAACAAGAAATGCAAAGGTGGAAAGAATTTGTTTTTTGGAAAGAATTTACAAAAATTTATTAAGTACCACCACTTTTGATTCTGGCTCCGCTTCTCCAATTGATTTTGAAAATCCTTCAGTAATGGCAGAAGTATTAACTCAAAGATTGGATCACACTTTAGCTTTGCCTCATTTTATTTCTCTCCTTCAACATTTATTGATGGTACCCACGGATGAGAGACATCTTCCTTTGTGGCGATGTTTTGATCTTTTATTACAGCAGTTAAGAAGGAATAAAAATATTTTTTTTTAATTTTCAAAAATAGATTAACATTGAAAAGTGCAATGAATGGTTTGGACCCGTTAAGGGTTGATCCTCAATTATCAGAACAACAACAATTTAGCAAAAAATTAGATTGGGATGAACTTCTTGGAAGATTAAGAACTGAAGCAGAATGTGAAAAACTTGAACGAAAATTACAAGAAACAGAGGAGGAATTGGTAAAAGAAAGAAAGAGGATTTTGGAATTAGAAAATTGTTTGAGTGATTTACAGGACTCTGCTTCCCTTGTCTCTTTTTCTAGGTGATTTTCTTTGAAAAAAATTCAAAGTCTTCAATAAACATTTTTTAAGAGTTTCTGAACATTCTTCAGCTTCAATTTCCTCTTCATATTCTTCATCACCTTCCGATCCCTTCCATTCATCAAATAATAATATATCTAATATTTTTGGAAACAATTCCAATCAGCAATTACCTCCTATTCGGCCTCCAGTAGGTCAAGCCCCTCCACCCCCTCCTCCATCTGCTCGACAACTTCGATCGGGAAATGAAACTTTAATTATTTCTTCAAATAAATCAATTCCAAAGAAAAAAGTTCCAATTCCTCTATGTCCAGTCAAAACTTTAAATTGGACACCAATTCCAAAAGATAAATTGAAAGGAACAATTTGGGAGAATTTAGACGAAAAAAATATTTATAATCAAGTAATTTATCTTCTAGAAGACTTTAAAAAATAATTATTTTTTTAGATAGATATTGAAGCTTTAAGTGAACAATTTGCTGCGGGGAAATCGGGAACAGATGAACAACAACAATCTATTGATGGAAATTCTTTTACTTTACACAGAAGTTTAGCTCTTCGACAGGCTAATCAAATTACTGTTATTGACTCTAGAAGGGCACAAAATTGTTAGTTTTTATAATTACCTAAATTATTTTGAAATTTGTGAAGTAAAAAAATTAAAAAAAGAAATTTTTTCTATAATGGGAAAATGTGTGAACAAATTTTTTAAATCCTTTTAAAATAAAACTTAAATAAAATATCTATTTTTAGGTACAATAATGTTAGCAAGACTAAAAATGTCTCATAGAGATATTCGACATACACTTCTTGGTATGGATGAAAGATGTAAACTTTCTCGTGATATTTTGGAGCAAATGTTAAAATTTGTGCCTTTAAAAGAAGAATTAAATAAAATGAAAGAAACTTTAACTAAAAAAAGAAAGCAACATCAATCCTTGGCTTTAGCCGATCGTTTTCTTTGGGAAATGGGACAAGTACCTAGATATGAACAAAGACTTAAATGTTTGTGTACTATTAGATCGTTCCAAGATCGTTGTTCTGAAATTAGGCCTGGAATTTTAGGTAATTTATTGACTGGACATTAACTAGGGGGGTTGATCACGGTTGTTTAATCAAAACAGAAAACCGGGGGTACCGGTTAATAACCGTTATTCAGCAACCCCTACTATTAACCTCTTCTATTAAAAATTAATTATTATTTTTAACAGCAATTTCTCGAGCATCACATACTCTTTGCAACAGTAAACGATTAATTCAATTTCTGGCTCTTATTCTTGCTGTTGGAAATATTCTAAATGAAGGAAAACGTTTGGGGAATTGTTATGGTTAAAAGAGAAAGGGGAAATTAATCTAAATAAATTTTTTTCCTCTTTTAAAGGTTTTACAATTTCTTCAATAGACCAAATCCCTTCTGTTCGGTCTACAATTCGTCCCGATAGAAATTTACTTCATTTTCTGGTTGAAACAATTGAACATAACTGGCCTGATTTATTTAATTTAAAACGAGAAATGAATTCGGTTTTGGAGGCTTCTAAAGTTGATAGACAACAAATTGAAGTTTTTTTAATTTAAAAAGAAAAAATTAATTATTTTTTGTAGAAAGAATTATTTCAATTAGAAAAGGCAATATTTGAATTAAATGAAGAATTAAATTATTATCAAAAGAAATTTGAGGAATCTAATAATTTAGAAGAGGGAAAAGAAGAAGAAGAAAAAATTGTAGTAGAAATACCAGAAGAACCATTTCCTCAACAAAAAGGAGGGGGAGGGGAAGGGGAAGGAGGGAAATCAATTCAACGTTCAAAACAACCTGATAGATTTGTGGCTGTTGTAAAAACTTTTTTGGAAGAAGCTAAAAAGCAAATGACTCAGCTTAGGGAAGAATTGACTGAAATGAGACAAAAGGTTTTGAACAAAGATAATTTTGTATTTGGCTTTTAAAAGGATTAATAATTTCTCTACCTTCAAACAAAAAATGAATAAAAAAATATTAATTTTTTAAATTTAATTTTCATTTTTAAAGTTATCAGATTGTGTTCATCTTTTTGGTGTTTCTTCTATTGACTCAAAACGTCCAAATTCAGAAATTATTCTGCCTCACTCCGATCAATTCTTTGGGCCATTTGCTCGTTGTTTTAGTGGATTAGCTGATTGTCACCGAACAGTTAGGACTGAAAGGGAGGAAATTGAGGCTAAAAAAAGACAATTTCAATTAAAAACTTTGTTTAATCAACGAAGAAGTGAGGGAGAGGGGGGGGGGATTTTAAATTTAAATTTATTTTCTTTTTTAGAAGAAAGTGGAAGAATTAATCGTGATTCTTCTCATTTATCTGTTGCTAGAGTATATAAAAATGGGGGAAAAGTGGGGAAAGCAGATCGGGATTTTGAGGCTATTGTGAATATGTTACAAACGGGGGAATTATTTTCTGAAGAATTAAGTCGATTAAGAACTTCTGTCAGAATTAAAGGGCCAAAAACAACAACAACAATTGTAACTATCTCCAAATAATTAAAAGGAAAATAATTAAAAACAATTAAAAGCTCAATAATTTATTTTTAGTTCCCTTTCCCGACATTTTTTTTGATTAATTTAATTTAAATTTTAATTGATAATTTCAGAAAATTTAATATTAAAAAATGTCGGTTACCTAATTACTCATTTCTCTCTAATATTTTTTCTCAAATTTTCTAAATTTATTTCTATTGCCCAGTTTATTTTATTCACTAACAAAAAAAACATTTAAAGCTTTAAATTACAAAAATTATATACTTAAATTGCCTTCCCTCCCAATTACCTATTTAATAATTAAATGACCAAAAACTACACGCATTTTGATATTTTATATTTTTATTAGCCAAATAAAAAATATTAATTTCTTTTATTTTTTTTAAATTTTGTTAAAATGTCTCACACTTATTTAGAAATTAAATGGAGGTTATGCTGTCGAGAGAAACACTATCTTCTCTAATTTCCTATAGCTTTTATTTTGGCATTTTTGCCGTTATATGGAAATTAAAAAGAATTTTTAGGCCCTTCATATACATACATACCACACACTAAAATTAATTTAAAAATATTTAAAAATTAAACAATTAAAATACAACTAAATTAAAAAAATTCTAAAAAAAAATAATTATATTTAATTATGTTGTTGTTGTAATTATTGTTGTAGTAGTTGTTGTGTTTTTATTACTTTTCCTTCTTCTTTTTTTTCCTTTCTTTTTTAAACTTTTTCCACAATATCCACATGTTTCACGACATTCTTTTTTCATAAAATCTTTCCAAATTTTATCTTCACAACGATGTTTATTTTGTGGGCATTCACTTACTCCATTTGGGCCAATTCCGTCTCGACAAACTTTAAAAAATAATTTTCCCCCAAAAAATCTTTTCTTTCCTTTACCTCCAACATCTCGAGATATATTCAATTTAATATATTCTTCACATCTGTCACAAGTTTTAGGGCATTGTTTAGTCATTAATTTATACCAAATAGTTTCATTACATCTATGTTTATTTGCTGGACAATCTGAAGGTTTTCCTGGGGCTGATAAATCTTTACATTTTGAATAATCTTTTCTTAATTTATTTTTATTTTTTTGATATCTACAACATTTATCTTTATTTGAATCATAAAAAAGTTTTGGTGGGCATTTTGGGACAATATTTCCATTTGAAATTGGAATTGTTATTGCATCTAAGGGAAAATTAAGAATTTTTAAACAAGAGTTTCTTTCTCTATTCTCTTACTTTTACAAATTAATTTACTCCCTTTTGGCCTTTTTCGAAGACTAGAATCTTCTTTTTTTCCATCAGGCAAATAACCATTTATTTTTTTATCAAATCCACAACAAACTTTTTGTCCATCCATTAATTCTTCTGTTAAAGTTAAACCCGGTCTTTGTAGAAGAGGAGATTGACAAGGATTTGGACTTACTCCAATTGCAGCTATTTATTTAGAATTTTTATTTTTTAATTTAATAAAAAGAAAACATACGTCCACAAAATACTTTAATTGTCTCGATAAATTTTAAATTAATTATTATAATAATTAAAATATTTAAAAAATAATTACAATTTAATTTTATTTTTCCCATTATTCTTCTTAGATTTTTGAATGAAAATATTTTTAAATAATATCTTTATATATATATATATTTTATATTATAATAATAATAATATAATAATCTTTCTTTTATTATTATTGTTTTTAAAAAAAATTCTTTTGTTTTAAAAGGTTTTATTTGTTTTAATTCAGGTGTTAATTTTTATATCTAATATATATTTTACTAAAAAAACAAAAAAAATAAATAAAACAAAAAAATATTTTAACAAAATTTGCATGTTTTTCGACAAAAAGTCCCAAGAATATTTCGTTGCCCTATATCTTGACAGCCAGATTCCATTGCTTTGCAATTTTGGCCAATATCTTCACCTTTTAAATATTAAATAGGTATATATTTTTTGATTAATTCCTTTCTTACATTCTTCTAAAGGTTCCTCTTCTTCAATAGAAACTTGATTAGTAATTCCTTTAATTGTACTAGATAATGTTGTTTTTGTTGTTTTAATTATTTCTTTTTTATTTTCTATTGAATTTGTTGTTTTTGTATTTTTGATTGTTTTCTGTTCATTAATTTCTTGACTTTTAAGTTTTGATGTTGTTTTGAATGTTTTTATTGTTTTGGGGGTTGTTGATGTTTTTAGTAAATGTTTTGTTGGTTTTGATGTTGTTGTTGTTATTGGAATTGTTTTTGTATTTGTTTCTTTTAATGTTTTTGTTGTTGTATTATTGCATATTCCACAAGTATAGGAACAATGTGAACGAAGAAAATATTTATATATTCCATCATCACAAAGTTTAACAAATTCACTACATTTATTACTTTTGTCTTCACCTACATAATTTTTAAAAATTTAAAAAATATTTATTTTTTATTTTACATTTATTTTTATTTATTAATGTAGTTGTTGGTTTAATCCAAGATGAAGGATTTTCTGGTAAACCACAAAGAGAACAAAATAAACAGGCAGAAATTGAAGAAATACTTGCACTATTTCTTTGTAAATTTTGAAAATTATTATTTTGTTGGAGTAATTGGTTTTGATTATTTTGATTATAATGAGGTAAAGCATTAACAGAGAAAGTGGATATTGAAAAAATAAAAATAAAAAATAAATTATTAGTAGACATTTTTAAATATTTATATTTATAAAGTGCGAGTAATTTTGTGGACAATTGTGAACGATTAGAAAACCTTTTATTTGAGCTATCGGTCACGATTAGTCCGAAAATTATTTATTTACTAAAATATTTTGAATGGAAGAGAATTATTTATTTAATGAACATTTGTCTCTAAAATTATTTTAACGTTTTAAAAAGTCTAGTTCCATTAGATTCATAACTAGAGTTCGCCATTTTAACTCAAAAAATTGCAAAATAAATAAAAAATCAAAAAAGGCCAAAATAATTTTATGGTCGTTCAAATTTCATGTTAACACTCAAAATTTTTTAAAACTATTTTGCCATTTGTGTTCGTAAAACTTAAAATGGCGGTTAAATATTTATATTTATAAAGTCCGAGTAATTTTGTGGACAATTGTGAACGATTATAATTTATACGAAATAGTAAAGAACGGACATTCCAATTTCGAATTTACCATATTAAGTTCCAGTTTTTTATTAGAAAATTAAGCATATAATATATTCTTTAATAAAAATTATTAGTTTAATTTATTTTATGTACATTTTTATAATTTTCTTTTTCATAATATTTCTTCTAATAAACGAATTTCAACAATCTTTTCTTGTTCCCTCATTTCATTAATTCTTTGACTATAAGAATCGCGAAAAGATTCAATAATTAAATTATTTATATGAATAAATGCAACAATTGTTTCTTCCATTTCTTTACTATTTTCGTATTCAATACAAGCAATTTGGCCTGAAAAAAATTTTTTTAAATAAATTCATAGAATTAAAAAATGAGACAGAAGGCTACATATTTTCAACAAAAAAATGTTTTGGTTGATAAAATATATGATCCTACTTAAGGAGTTATTTTATAAGTAATAAATAGATCTCTTTCTCCGCCTGAAAAAGTCAAAAAATTACTGGAGAAAAGAATTTTTTACATTTATTTTGCTATTTAAAAATGCCTTGTTTGTGAGTCTTTTTATTTTAAAGTAACCCCCTCCCCTCCTCCCTTTTTTCTAACCAAGTAATTGTTGTTGATAAATATCCAAAAAATGAGGTTTCATTCCATAACGTGAATATTCAGCATGTGTTCTTCCAAGATTATAACAAGCAATTAAAATCTTTTGTTGATCCATATTTAATTCGTAAATTAATTTTTCATAAAATTTAAATTGTGATTGACTTAAAAAATATTTTTTTTTATTTTAAATTTTTTAAAACCAAATTTTATTTAATTTTGGCCATTTTCTCAAATCTCTATAACAATATCTTCCACAAGCAATTATCTCATTTAATTTTGGACTTGCTTCAATACATCTAAGCATTGTTTTATGAAATATATCAGTTCTTTTACCAGATATATATTTTCTCCAACAACGAGCAATTCTTTAAAAATAAATTTTTTTGAAAGAAAAATTATTTATATATTTACATTTCTCGATCACGCATAGAAAAACTTTGATGTGTTCCATTTTCTAAATCATCTAATAAAATTTGTGAAAGACGACGAATTGCTTCTGTGTGTTTCTGATCGCCTTGATAAAGATTTTAATTTATTTTTAAATTTTTAGTTAAAATTGTTTAAATTAAATTTAATAATTTTTGGATATCGAAGAATTTTTGGATTTTGAATATTTTGAAAATTCTGATTTTATTGGAGTAATTAGTTTTAATTATTCCCATTTAATAAAAGTATTAATGATAAAATTATACAAAAATTTGATGAATATGTTTAAATATTAAATAGTCATCATTATAAATAAAAAAAATGATTATACTTTCGTATTTTTAGCTATTAAATATTATAAAAAATATTTTTTGTTCCTGCAATTTTTCTTGTATTATTTTCATAGAAACCTTGAAATGGTGATGGTGCAGTTACAATAACTGTTTTAATTTGAATATTATTACCCCCAACTTGATTTGCTGCACATGTTAAACATTTTTTATTATAAATAGTTAAACCGTTACCCATTTTTTTTAAAAATGAATTTTATATTTAAAATAACTTTTTAAAGGGTTTTTATATAAAAATAAATAATTTTTTTCTAACATATGAGATTTTCAAGAAAAAGCATTTTTATATTTACGCATTTTTCGAAAGCGTGGAAATTTTTTTATTTGCAAGTGAAAAGTAAAACTTTTTTAACGGGTTTTGTATAAACTATGCATGGGAAAAAGAATTTTATTTAGAAAATATATTAAATTAATTTTTTTTCAAAGAATTAGTCTAAATACATCATAATTATTTTTATATTTAAATACACCTAAAATTTCCTTCGTCAATAAATTTTTAAAAATATTTATTAGATGATGTGAAACCACGAAAATCGTGAATTCATGGCGTGTTTTGTGTTTTCCAATTACCGTAAATCTTCTAATGCACGTGTGCTTCTGTTTTTCAATCCTGTGCTTCTATTAGAGACTGCTTGCTTTTGTTTTTCAACCTTAAGTACACTCATAAATCTTCAGTGGACAAAAGCCGAAATACAGAATAGGAAACGTGTGAAAAAATGTGAAACCCCCGTACCCCGACATGCCCACCCCGAGCGTTCACGGTACAATCCTATTTTCACAAAATTTTTGAGAAATAATGCTTTATTGACGAAATGTTCATTGACGCAAAGTTTATTGACGAAAGGTACAACCACCTTAAATTACCGCGATAAAATGCAAACAAAATGCCAACCAATTATTTTTCAATTTGCATAATTTATAATTTGTAAAGAATATCCGATTAATTTTTAAATTAATTTGTAGGATAAATCAAGAGGATTTATGCATGTTTTGTCACAGAAAATGTAAATTAATTATCTTCCTTTTTTCCTATAAAACTCAAAATTTTTCGTGGGCACATTTTTTGGTTTTTTAATTATTTTAATAGGATATCATCAAAAATTAATATTTCATTATAATTCTATAATTCTTCACATGCCTGATCAAGTTGCTAAAAAGAAGAGTGAATATGAAGTTGTTGGTGACTTTAGTTCGTTGCGAGACAAATCGCCAGTCCAAAATGGTTGGGTAATTTTTATAATTTAGTCCAACTAATTTCTTTACCCAGATTTCCTTCTTTAATTCAAAAATTGTTTCAAAATTTCTTTAATTCTTTTATATTTTCTTTTATTTTTTAAGCAGAGAAAGACCTCGAAGCTGTGCCTCCGCCAATTCCAAAACGTAAGAGGCGTTGTTGTGCATTGCTGTGATGTTCTCTATATTTGGTTTCTTCTGTGAATTGCTGTGTAATGAGAAATTCTTTATTGTATAATATAATTATTTTGTTCTTTTATGTTTTGATAAAATTTGTTTTTTTTAACATTTTATTAATGAAATCTGTTGATATATTTTTATATCCAATTTTTATATTTTTTGTATTTTTATCAATTTGTTTTGGGTTTTGTTCAACAATTTTGTTTTAATTAAAAAAGAATTTCTTTTTTTAGTATTTTAGATTGATTTATTCAAAAAAATATTAAAAATGTTCTTTTGCTCTTTTATGTTTATTGTTCTTCAACTTATTTTCTGTACTGCTTGGGATGTTGAGGATGGTGAAGTCTTCAACAATTCGTTGGCTACAAATACGACGGGAATGCCTGAATTAAACAATACATACCAAATGGGAATTTTGGGTAATGATGGGATTGTTGGAGGTTAATTTTGAATTTGTTTTGATATTATTATTTAATTTTTAGAAGAGAATATGATGGGAACTTTCAATTTGGAGAACATCAGCACTACTGGAAAACCTGTATTTCTTTTATAAAATATGTTCCCAAAATATTTCTGTTCTGAATTAGATTTTTGGGAGTTTTTTCTTGCTTGGGATGACTTAACATTTTGGAAATTTTATTTTTTGATAACCCTAATATCTAACACTTTTCGAAATAAATAATTAAAAAAATTCTTTTAAATTAGGCTAATTCCACCAGCGATGATGTCTGTCCGTTTGTGGGCTGTGTTGTGTTCTTTACTGTTGTTGGTTTTATTGTTGTTATTTTGGCATTCGCTGTTCTTTCAGCTGCTATTTGTCTTTATGCAAAACGCAAAGCGCCTTCGGTTTTGCCTCAAAATGTTAATAATTGAATTGCTTTTTAAATAAATAAAAATATTTGATTTTCTTTTTCCAATGGCGAAACATTTTAAATTTTAAACAAAGTTATTTTTTAAATTATTTTTACAAAAATGTTTCGTCTTTTTTGGCTTTACTTAATTTTTGCTGAATTTATTCTTTGCTTATGATTCTATACACACCGGTATTCACCTCTTTACAATTAAATATATGCTCATTCACCCTTCTATTGAATTGTTTTTTTGATAAAGCTGATTCTATTTAATTGTTTTCATTATAAATTTGTATTTAATTTACTTCAAAAATACATTAGAATTTTATTTTTGATTCCTCGTTTGGGTTAAAGTTGTCATACTATAAAAGGCTTTTAAGAAAGGTGAATTCATTATCTTCACTGTCAATATTGTTTGTTCGGCAACTATAAAGGTCAGTTTCTATAACTTTTTTTGTGATGATGATTTTTAGGTAAATTGTCTGTTTTGCGATGGCAGGAGGAAGCGCGGAAAAATCTGACAAGGGAGAGGATAGCGCTGACTATGAAGCCTACATGCCTAATATCCCGAAGAGAGCGCATCCATTCAACCTGAGAAATGAAACGACAATTGGTAAGGTCTGTTTACATTAGAAAAAATTTTTTTATTTCATTAGCTCTCAAACTCTGGAAAGCTGATAGGGAGTCTTCGCTCTATATCAGGGAGAGGTCAAAGACGTTCATGGATAGGCTGAAACAGAAAATGTTGGGTTCCGAGGAGGCGCAGAGGAAGAGAAAACAGAAGAAGTCGCGATCCAGATCGAGGAAGAGGTCTAATACCGACAAGAAGAAAAACAAGTCTAGCTCGGGGGCCTGATAAGATGTGATTGGACGATAGATGTATTCATAATAGGATAGATATTTTCTAATGTATAAACAAATGTATGTATTGTTCTTTGTACACATTGTGTTAATTAAAGTGATAAAAATGTCTGCAATAGTATTTTTGAAATTTTTAATGGTTCATTTTCCTTTTGTATTTGTAAAATAATAGGAGCTTAAAATATTAATTTTGAAACGAATTTTATCGTAAACCATTACTAATCGATTGAAATGATAAATTGTAGGGCTGACGCTTTCAGTTTTTCTAATTTTTGAATAATGTAGTATTCATTTTAAGTTGATTTTTTTAATAAACATATTTATTTCAGGGTAGGGGACGATTCAGTATCGCCGATTCAGTCTCGCCGATTCAGTATCGCCGATTCAGTCTACGCCGATTCAGTATCCGCCGATTCAGTATTCGCCGATTCAGTATACGTGGAAAAGGGGACGATTCAGTATACGATATTTTTGGGCTAGAAAATCTTTTTTCTTGTAGATTTTTTTCGTGTTTCTTACTTTCTACGATCTATAAAACATCTTTAAAGCTAGCCAAGTCTTAATTCTCGGCTTCTCTTAGGCGTTTTCTGGCTTAGGGTGAAGTTTTGGTCTCGACTTTTTTTCTTCGGGGAACAAAAATTTTTTAAAAAATGAGTCAAATAAACAAAAATTTATCAAAAAATAAATAAGAACAAGGTCTACATTTCACTTATTTATTAGATTTGTGGCCCTAAAGAGGACCAGGCAACCACCTCAACAGCAAGCTGCTCGACACAAATAAAAACAAGTCCAGGACCGGATTGTCTTAAATTAAAAAAAATTTTAAAAATAAAAAATGGAATGGGGAGTGGAATTGGGAAGTAAGAAATCTCCGCAAAAAGCCTGCAAAAATTCGTAGCGATAACGGCCAGGGAGCTTCTGGGGCTATAGCTCCCCCTTGTACATAATGGGGAAAATAAAAAAAATTTCAAAAAGCCAAAAAACTAAAAAATAAACCATGTGTCTGTAGTAGAAACCTCGCCATTCACTGTAGAATTCTCGCCGTCTTGAGATATTAAGAAAATTGAAGAAATTTAAAAATTTTAAAAAATTTAAAAAAATTCTAAATTTTCCATAAAAATTATTTTTTCGTTAATAATTGTTGTTGGTTATTGCTAATTGTTATGGTAGACCACCTAAAGAACAAAGAAAATGCTTAAAACGAAAAAATAAATCAGTTACTTTCCAAAAATTTCCATTTTTAGGGTATTTTATTCTACGTATACTGAATCGTCCCCTTTTCCACGTATACTGAATCGGCTATACTGAATCGGCGAATACTGAATCGGCGGATACTGAATCGGCGTAGACTGAATCGGCGATACTGAATCGGCGAGACTGAATCGGCGATACTGAATCGTCCTTAACCGTTTATTTCAGGAGGTGCTTATTCTCATAAACTTTTTATTGCTTTAATATTCAAATAATGCCAGGGGAACGTCGTGGAGACAAAAAGTAAGAATATAAAAATGAATTGTTTATTTTAAACACATAATTTAGTCGTCGTGGAGGAGGCGGTGGATTTGGTGGTAGAGGAGGAGGTGGAGGCCGAGGCAGTGCTGCTGGAGGTAGAGGCGGATTTGGTGGCGGTGGGGGAGGCCGTGGCGGCAGGGGAGGCGGATTCGGTGCTGGCGGTGGAGGCCGAGGCGGTGGTGGTGGAGGACGTGGAGGTGGTTTCGGTCATTTACCTCATCCTGGTGGGTTTGGTCCGCCCCATGGCTATGGACCACCTCATGGTTACGGCGCATATGGAGAAGGTGGCGGTTTTGGAGCTGGTGGATTTGGTGGTGGTGGAGGCTTTGGAAGTTTTGGAGGATTTGGAGGTGGCGTTCCAAATTATGGAGGAGGAGGTGGTGGTGATTTTGCAAGTCGAGGTTGGCTTACTTATAAATAAATACCGATGTATATAACAATAAAACTAGGTCCAAGACGGATGGATGATGCTGGGAAGAAGCTTCGACCTATAGAATGGGATCATTCTCAACTTCCTCCCATCAAGAAAAATTTATATCGTGAGCATGCTTCTATTACTCGGCGTGAACAATCAGAAATTCTTGAATGGCTTAGAACCACTGAAGTCACTCTTGAGGGTGATAACATTCCTCGTCCGATATCCGAGTTTCATGAGAGCGGGTTTCCACGTTTGTTTTTTGATTTATCTTCATTTTTTCAAATCTTTTTAGAAGAGATAATTGACCTTCTTTGTGCCCATTATCATCGACCTACAACGATTCAAAGCATTTCTTGGCCCGTAGCTCTCAGTGGCCGTGATATGATTTCAATTGCAAAGACTGGTTCTGGCAAAACGCTTGGCTTTATTCTACCAGCTATTGTGCATACATTGAAGTATAATCTTAGTCTTTTGAGTATACATAAGTAATTTTTAGTCAGCTTCCTCGTCGTCCAAATGAAGGGCCAACTGTTCTTGTTCTTTTACCCACTCGTGAATTGGCAGTTCAAGTTGAAGAAGTTGCTCGTGAATATTGTCGTATAATGCACCTTGAAATTAATTGTTGTTATGGCGGAGCAGCTAAACAGGGCCAAGCAAGCGATTTGAAGCGAGGTTTTTAAAACAATTTTTAGTATAATTAATTGTCAAGTTTTATTCGTCCAGATAGATTTAACTCTGGAATGACATTATTTTTCCCTTTATTATTTTCTATACCTCTGATCATTAAATTGTTATATACTTATAGGCATAGACATTTGTATTGCTACTCCTGGACGTATTCTTGATTTTCTTGAATCTGGTACAACAAACATGCGTCGTTGCACATTTTTGGTGCTTGATGAGGCTGATCGTATGTTAGATATGGGTTTTGAACCTCAAATTCGCAAAATTGTTGGCCAAATTAGAGTAATTTTTATTATTTTTAGCATTTCATGAAATTTATTATAGCCCGATCGTCAATCTTTAATGTTCTCAGCTACTTGGCCCAAAGAAGTTAGAACTCTTGCTGCCGACTTTCAGAATAATCCTGTCCATTTACATGTTGGCTCTTTGGAATTAGCTGCCAATCATAATATTCAACAACATATTGAGATTATTGATGAGTTTGGAAAACAAGGTCGTCTTTTCCAACTTCTTGATCATATTATGAGACAGGTTTGTGTTTTTCTAGCTTTTTAAAAATTATTTGGCGCTTTACTCTTCTCTCCTTGATTTTTCAGTATTAAGGGAGTTTTGAAAAGCGCAAAATTAAATGAAGACCTTTTGCAACCATGAATTAGCTAAAATTTGGCTTTTTTATGTACTTTAACTGGTCTACATTATTTTATAATATTTAAAAAACAAAAATTTTGATTTTCTCATTTTTTTTTAAATTTAAAGCGAGAATGCAAAACACTCATTTTTGTTGAAACTAAACGAAAAGCAGATGAGATTACTCGAAATATGCGGCGTGATGGTAAATAATTTTGACGTTTAATTATTAGATGTTTATTGTTTCTAGGTTGGCCAGCTTTATGTATTCACGGTGATAAAGAGCAAAAAGAACGAGAGTGGGTTCTTGCGGGTCGGGTTTTCTTACTATTTTTGATTAAATAAATGTTAAATTTACAGAATTCAAGGAGGGTAAAACCCCTATTTTGCTTGCGACTGATGTCGCTGCTCGTGGATTGGGTATGTTCTCTGGGGGCTAAGAAATAAGATAGCCAGTGCGTCGTGTGGATCGTTTTATTTTGATGTTCCGTACTCTCCCTACTACTCTTCCTCAAATAAATACAAAACATCATTTAGAAAATCATCTCAAACGCTGCTAATATATTTTTTTAAAAATTATATGAATGCGGCGGAAATTAATGAAAAAAAAATAAAAACAAAGAATCGAGGAAGTATTGAAGGGAAACAACAGTAAAAAAGTTGGTCATGTCATATTCAGGTATTTATTTTTTGGAAGGACGTGGCTGGCTGCTCTACTGTTGTGTTTGTGTGGATCATCATAAAATTAAAAAAAATCGTTTCACACGATTGGTTGTCGCGCACAATTTTATTACGAGAGAAGGAGAATGTTCAAATGTTCGCGCGATGGCCAACTCTGGCTGACCAAACCTTTTCCTGGTTCCGTGTTCCGCGAAATCATCGTGGTACTACGGAGTATTGGAGAAGGTTGGTCTTTTTTAAATATTTTTTTGTCATTTTATTTATGGAAAATTTGGAATCATTTTTGTTAAAACATTTAAATCATTTTATATTTAAGACGTTTCTGATATAAAATATGTCATCAATTATGACTATCCGAACAATTCTGAGGACTATGTTCATCGAATTGGACGTACTGGGCGTCAAGATAAAACGGTATACCTATTTTGTTATTTTTAATTAAGTAAAATCTTTTTTAACAGGGGACGAGTTACACTTTCTTCACGCAAAATAATTCTCCAAAAGCTAGAGATTTAATTAAAGTTTTGGAAGAGGCAAAACAAGTAGTTCCCCCACGTCTTCATGAATTGGCTGAAAGTGCTTTTGGAAAAGAAAAGGGCAAAAGGCGTTGGCGCCAGACAGAAGGTGAAGGATCTACTCCTCCCGTTAATATGAAAAAGTCGAATGATGAAGGATTTAGTGCTGATAATGGATTTCCAGAAGCTTTATGGTGACAAATTTGTTTTAAAAATTATAAATTGGAAATAAATAATTTTGAATTTTACTTTTTAACTGACAAATGGGGTACTACTATGTGGCCTAAATTCTTTTATAATTCTTACAATTAGATATATTTATAAAAAATATCAAAAGGTAGTAAATTCTCAATATGATACATAATTTGTCTTAGTGGTCATGAAATGAAGTTTAGATAAGAGAAAGGAAAAATTAAATTATTTATATTCCAATTGACTTTAATTTTTTATATATTTGTGAATGCTTTGACCTATATTAAAAATCCTTTATTATCTAAAATATAGATTCCATCGCATTAGGTGCCTCCATTTTTAATTTATGAAGTGGGCATCTTTTAGATCCCTATTTTTGGATCAAAACATTACAATCAAGTCGGAATAGAATGAGCTCTCATTTGTTTATAAAAGTAAATGGAGGTACATAATGCAATTGTACTAAAATATATCGACCTTTGATTATTCAATTTTATGTATCAATGTCATTTAGTAAAAGTTTATTCAAATTAGTAACCTTTTTGATTAAATTTTTTGGACTTTTGTTAACTTAATTTGTTAAAATTAAAAAAATTCGGTTGGCAAACAAAATTTAACATAGTAAAAGAGAGGTAAAAGTTTAGTCCCTGGCAGGCTCAAGGTGCTCTATCGACTCGTTACGGGAGCTGCATAGATCTTAAACCCTCTCTTGGTAACCGTTTCAAGTGCCTAGCTAGTTGGATCTCTCTTTTTCCTCACAATATAAAAAATAAGATCATTTTTTAAACAATTAACATCTTCCACAAGTAGCACGGCATTCTTTATTTATTAATGTTTGATATTTAAAATCATTGCAAAATCGTTTTAATTTATCACAAAATTGTCCTGAAACGCTGATTTTTTAAAATTTGTATTATTTAATAACCCACCTCTGTCTAGACACGGTCCCATTAATGAATGGTGCCTTGAATGGTGATCCAATAATTTGTGGTCTTCTAAGCTTGATTTTGGTGCTAGGCCAACCAAATGTGCTAATTGACTACAACAGAGTGTCCAAATACAGCAAAAGCAAAGGAATAAGAAAAAAGAATGTTTTGAAAATCCTTCGAAAGGCAACCTTAAATAAAAAGAGAATAAATTTTGTTAGGATTTTTTTGATATTTATTAAATTTAAAATAATTATTAAAAATATTCACTTACATAGGATAATTAGAAAACAATTCTTCAAAAATAAAATAAGAAAAGACTAACCAATTTTGCTTTTTCTGTTCAGTCAGAAGAAAATTGTTAAATGTTTTTTCTTCCTCATCCTAGTCTATGGACATTTTCATTTATACAAAGCTTTGTTTGTTTGATGAGTAAATGGACAACAATAAATATATGTCCGGTTTTTCTGTCGGAGATTTAAAGAAAGTATTAATGTGTGGCCTTGTAATTGAATGAGAAAAGAAAAATTAAGAAAAGAAGGGATTGGTGTTTTTGTTTAAAATAATTTTAGAGAAATTTTTTTAAGGTAAAATGAAAATATAATTTAAATTTTGCTTTTGGATTTTTACTATACGAGAAGAGGAGTTTTTAGTTGGCTTGTTAATTAGGTATTAATTATCCCTTCCAAGAGAGGTTATAACAATAATTAATAAGGGTTCAAGAATTATATTATTTAGTAAATACATATTTATATAATTGTATTTATAAATAATTTTCATCAAAATTCTATTGTTTTTTATGAAATAATTTTTATTTTTTCCTATTTTTAACCTTAAAATATTCTTTTTACGAAAATTATATTTATAACGCGTGAGGTATCGTCGTCATTTTATAAACTCAAAGTTAAAAATGAATAGTTACTAAAATTGGCACAATAAAAGTAAAATTAGATTTTTTTAGTTTTTTTAAATAAATATTTTTTTTTTATTATAACTTAACTTTTTATTTTTTATAAGCAGGACAGTCATAAAAAAAGATTAGTAGAAAAATCAAAAAAATATTAGCTTTACACGGAAAATTTTTAAAATTTGAGCACTGAAACCTATTCCTTCGTTAATTAGGAGTTTTATTAATTAAAGCAGCGTTAGTTAATTATTTAAAAATTTATTTGACAAATTTATTTAGTAAAATCTCGCAAATTTTTTGCTGACATTTCATTTTTCCTTATTATTTGTTCTCATTTCTTTACTTTTTAAAGTCAATTTTGATTTTTAAATTTATTTAAATTAGCGTAAAAATATAGGCTTTGTTTTCTATAGAATTTTTCTTTGTTTCTTTTATTAAAAATTATTCATTTAGAAAACTAAATTTTAAAATTATTTTTTTATTCTTCTATTTTAACATTTTTTTGGAAATTTCTCTTTTTACAGAATAATATTTTTAATATTATTCCAACAAAATTTTCATTTTATTATTTACCCTCATTTTCGCAATTATAATAATAGGTTATTTTAATAAATAAAAAAAAATTCCTTCCAATTTCCTATCATTTTTTAAGTGTAAAATTTAAATAAAATGAAGGAGAGGTTTTTAATTATTTTAATTAAAACAAAAATATTTAATAAAAATATTTTTATTTTACATATATCCTTTAATTTACTTTAAAAAAGTTTAATTATTTATTTAAAATTTCTTTCATATTTTTTCTAATATTAAAAAAAATTTTTTTTCAAATTTTTAAAATATAAAGGTATATAAATATACATATATTTTTGTTTATATATTTCTTTCTTTTTTTGTTTCATTACCCCCGGGATTGTTTTTCATTTTTTTATTCGTCTCATGTTCAATTCACCCTTTATACCTTTAAGGCTCCAAAAACAACGGGCGGGGATATTTACTTTGTCAGAACAGCCGTTAACATTAAAAAAAAGAAAAACTTTTTCTTTATTTAAATGATCCTATCATTTTTTCTTTTTTAATCCCCAGAGTCTCATAAATCTATCTTTTTTGGAAGAAAGAACTTTTCGGCAAATTTATAGTTAAAAAATTCTTCTTTTTTTTTAAATAAAAGTCAAATATTTAATTTGATATTTATTCTCACAATTCTTTTCAACATTTTCAAATTATTGACTTTTAAATATTTAAAAAGTAATTTTTGAGTTTTAAGAAATATATTTGAAGAAATATTTTTTAAAAAATCTTTTCCATAAACTTTATAGTATATTAAAAATAAGACAAGCTTTATTTAAGTAAATATGTAAAACCTTTAATTAATTGTCATAGTTAAATAAATTGGTATAGGCTCATGAAAACAAAAATGAATTTACTTTTTAATTTAATCCCTCCGAGTTTGTTAGTATAAGTATCGAGATTCTGATTATTATTTATTAAAAAATTATTTTTTTAAGAATTCGTAAAAAGAATATATTAATGACTGCAACTAACTACTCTATTAAATACTTAAAAATATAAAAATATTTTTATTTGACTAAAAAAAGGCAAAAAGGGATTTAAAAGAGCAGTGATTAAAAGAGAAGAAGAAGCAAAAAAATATAATTTTCTAAAAAAAAAGTTAAAAAAAAACTTCCATAAAAAGCTTTTCTCTCTCTCTTTTATTTTCTTCCAATTAGCCTTCTCTTCAAATACAAAAAAAAAGTAGAGGAAGAAATGGCAACGAGAGAAACAACTTTAACAGTTGAAGGGATTGTCCCTTTCTTTCCAAGGTTTTTTCCAAATATTTTACTTCTCAATTTACCTTAAAAATAAATAAAATATTTATTTTTAAATTTAGTATTATGGCTATACAACCATTTGATGGAGGAGGGGAATTTAATTCAAGTCATTGTAAGTCTGTTGAGGGAATAAATAAATATTTAATTAAAAAAAGGTATTTGTTCTGATTTACAACACGAAGATTATTCACCTTTATATGCTTGGTTTAATTATATTGTTATTATTGTTATGTTACCTTCCCTTTCTGTATTTGGTGTATTAACTAATTTTGTTAATATTTTTGGTTAATTAATTAATTAAAAAATATTTTTATTTTTTTTCTTTTCAAGTTTTTACCCGTCCTTGTATGAAAAATTCATCAAATACTTATTTACTTTTCTTGGCTTTCTCAGACTTTTCTGTTGTTTTGACTGGATTATTTATTTTTTGGATAGACTCTGCACGTTCTTATATTCCCCAATTAGTACAAGCACCCTACACTACAGTTAATTTTAAATAAATAAATAAATATTTTCCTTTTAATTAAAAAAGGTATATACTTTACCTTTTGGATATATGGCACAATCCTGTTCTATTTATTTTACTGTAGCAGCTGCTTTTGATTGTTATATTTGTGTAAGAAAAGATATTTTAATAAAATTATTTTTATTTTATTTTTTAAAAAAGGTTTGTTGGCGCAAGCACTCCCCCTTTCACTGCACAATTAAAAAAGCCAAAAATATAATTTATTTAATAATTATTTGCTCTATAATTTACAATTCTTTACGTTTTCCTCAATTTAATTTGAGAAAATGTATTCACGATGGAAGTGGGGATATGATTATTGAAATATGCCCAACATATTTATTTTATCATATAAACACTATTTATAATGGTTTTTACTTTAATTTAAATATTTTTAATTTAATTTATTTTTAAAGTTTATTTATATATGTTTGCAATGACTTTATTTCCTTTTTTTATTTTGTTACTTTTAAATACTTTAATTATTATTCGAAAATCTGTTGATGCAAAACATACAAGACAATTAAAGAAAAGGTATTTAAAAATACTTCCTTGTAAATATGTACTCACCCCCCTCCCCTTCAAATATTCTTAAAATACACACAATTCTTAATATTTGCTTGACCACTATAAGGGGAAGGGTTGGATACCTGTATGATACCCTATATTCAAGATATATCCCCTTAAAAGATTTTTGTTTCAACTTCCACAGGATATACATATTTACAAATAAATATTCTCTTAATTTTTCTTTTTTTCAAAATTAAAGTATTTCTCTCTCTTCTTCCTCTTCCCCAACAATTCAACAACAAAATAATTCAATAAATTCACCAATTATTTATCATAAAAATGGAAATTTAAAATTTTCTCCATTAAAAAGTGCCCCTTCTATTGAATCTACGGGAACTATAAATCCAAGTTCTGACGAAACAATTACTATGGTTATGGTAATTTTATTTAATTATTAAATTAAAAATAATTAAATTTAAATTAAAATTAAAAAGGTTGTTGTGTTATTTTTGTGTTGCAATACTCTTTCACTTATTGTTAATTTAATTGAAACTTTTTTTGAACCAGATCCTCTTTTATTAAATTTATTATCCGATGCCAGTAATTTTTTAGTTGTTTTTAATTCTTCTGTTAATTGTGTTATTTATTTAATTTTTAATAAAGAATATAGAGAAGTTTTTATGTAAGTGTTTAGTTTATTTTAAAATAAATATTTAAATATTTAAAGAAAATATTTTACAAAATGTTTTAAATGTTTTGGTTATTATATTGATAAAAATAATAATGGAATAAAAAATGGAAATATTAATTTATTAAATCAAAATAATTCAAAATTTGGTAAGTTTTGTGGTTAAAAGAAATTCTCTTTAATCTTTATAAATAATTTAAATCGCTAATTACGATGAGTTTAATGCAAAAGAGTTTTAAAAATAGGAAGATTTCGTAACTTAATTTAGACATAAAAATATAAAACAGGGATGATTTAATAGAGAATATAAGCAGTTTAATTTGAATTCCAGCTAATGATGTCAGAATATTTAGAAGTGGAAGGGGGTGAATATTTAAGTTAATTCGTGTGTTCTTGAAGAAGGACTAAGTCCCCTTCCTCCCTCGAGGAAGGGGAAAAATTCTAAAAAAATTTTGGATTTAGATTATTTTGCCCTTTTCCTAGATTTTTTATTTAAAAAAAAGATATTTTTTTTTCAAGTAAACGATGGAAATCATTTAATAACAACAACTTCAACAAATTTATCAGAATCAGTTTCTCCTGTTTGGCTTCAATGTCCGTGTATTTCCCAATTTAAAAGCCAACACAATTTTTGTCATTCTTGTCCGTACAGAAAAAATAAAAATTTAAAAAAATTAAATTCAATTAAATGGAAAGCTGGAAATTTGTATGTAGAAATTGAAAATGAAACAAAAAATATTTTGGAGGATAAAGAAGAGGAAAGAAATGAATTTATTTGTAATGGAGGAATTAAAAAAGAAAAACATCCAATTATTCGTGTAAATTTTAAAATTAAATTTAAGAAAAGAATATTTTTTGGATCAAAAAGTGTTTTTAGGGAAGGGAAAATAAAGTTTTAACGAGATTATTCAATTTAATTAAGTTTTAGAGAAGTTATTAGTAAAAAACTTAGTAGTCATATCATTTTTGGACGCACTGTATTTCGAATTTTCTGACAAAATTAAATAAAATAATTTTGTTATAAAATAATCAGAGAAAAGGAAATTAAAGTTAATCTAAATATTTCTTAATAGATTGGAAAATCTTTTTTTTCAGAGTCCATTACCTTGTTTAATCACAGCACAATCATTAAATAACGGAAAATGTAAAACATTAAAAATTGTTGAGAAAGACGAAGACAATTTATTAATAAATACCCCTTCACATTTAACATTTATTCAATCTTTAAATAAAAAGCCGGAAATTGAATCACCATTTTATAGAAAGAATAATGGAAGAAAAAATGAATTTGTTAAATTATTAGCAGAAATTGATGGAAGAGATTGTAGTAGTATATTGCCTGTTACTGAATTATAAATTTATACAACAATTTAATCATTTATTTTTTTAATTTAAAATTGATTTGTTTAAAAATTTTAGATTTTTTTTTGATTTTTAAAAATTTTTGAAATGAAGGAGACAAAAATAAGGGGTACATTTACATATTTAAAAAATCATAACTCTATGAAATCTAAATATTTTTTTATAAATTTATAATCATTGCAAAAAATGCTATAATATAAAATAAAAAAAGTATATACATCCTGGGACTTAATAGTTAGGCGAAGCAAAATTAAAATTTACACACCCTTGACCATATACTTTTGCACCAGACTTTATATTTTAATTTTTGTTTTTTTCAGTTTAGTCCATTTTATGTTCGTCTAATTATTTACTAGTTTAATTTTAATATGGATATTCATTAACTCTAAATTTATGGTTCATTCAGGTTAAGGTTATTATAGGCGATTTTAGCAACAAAAACAAACATTGACAAAGAATTTTTCACTTATTGTCAAAATAAACGTTTCTAGCCTTATTGGCGAAATTAGTCATTGGCAATTTGTGTGGGTACCGAAAAGTTCTTACAAATTAGTATCAGCTGATTTTATTAATTTATTTATTTTTAGTTTTAGTTTGAATGTCTCCTCAATTAATTAATTTATTTAAAATTTTTTTCTTTTTATTTCTATTAATTGAAGCAGCTACTTTAACTAATTTAACAACAAAAAGAAGAAAAGGGGGATATGAGGCTCTTTGGAATTTAAATAAAATGGCTGAATGTAAATTGGGGTATAGTGCTTTGGCTTATAATGATTATGGTTGTTGGTTTGTTTGGATAAATAATTTTGAAAATAATTTTTAAATTAAAAGGTGTGGAGTTGGGGGAGTTGGAGAACCTATGGATAAAATTGATAGGTTTATTTAATTAAATATTTTTTTTGGGGGGGGGGGGGGGGTTGTTATAATCCCGGAGAATAGAAGGTTCTTCGAAAGAAAAATTCTGAAAATATTCTCCGGGATTGCCAGAATAATTGTTAGGGGAATAAATTAATTTTTTAAATTTTTTTTCAAAGTTGTTGTATGACACACGATAAATGTTATGATTCGGCTGTAGATAAAGGAATTTGTTTTGATGTAGAATTTGAATATATAGATGATTATGGTTGGGAATGTAAAAATAAAGGAATTAATTGTCCAAAAACTTTAAATGGATGCAAAGAAGCTTTGTGTAGTTGTGACAAGTTTTTTTGAATCTTTTTTTTCATTTAAAATATTTTTTTATTTTTAAAGGCAAGTAGTCGATTGCTGGTCCAAATACCCAAAACCTTCAATCAAAACAAAATGTACACATGGAAAAAGAATTTTTAGTAATATTTTGGGGATTGTTTTTGATTCTTTAAATATTTTTATTAATTTTGTTTCTTCTTTGCCGAATTTGGTTGCTGGGCTTTTTCATCGAAATTAATTTTTTTAAAAGATTTTTTGGATGTTTTTTAAATTAAAATTCCTCTCCTCTAAAAACTTTCAAATTTTTGAAGAATTCCTATTATTGTAATTATTAAGTTGTTTTTAGTGCTAATTTGCTATATTTTAAATCCAACTTTTCTGTAATTAAATGTTTTTAATTAATTAAAAATAGGTAATTTAATTATTTTTCTCTATCTAAACTAAATTAAATTATGCTTTCTTTCATTTAAATTAAAAATAAAAATTTTTTGTTTAATATTTACAAATAAAATCTCAGATAGGAAATTTAAAAAAAAATTTAGAGATAACCAAAATTAAATTTTGAATTAGAGAGGCTTGTTATTTTACATAGAAAATTTAATTTTAAAGAATTAATAGAGAAATTAAAAATTAAATACAATTTTGTTTATTTTTTTAAAAGACTCCCCCCCCTCTTTTAAATTAATTTTCCAAGACATTATTTAAAAAAATAAATTCTTTAAACTTTCTTCTCAAACAACAAAAATATTAAACTAAAAAAACAAATTTTTAACCACAATTTATTTAAAGTTATCAGATCATTAGATCAAACATTTCTCACTTATTTATTTACCTTTTCTCTTTTAAAGGAAAATAAAAATAAATATTTAATTTGTGTTTTGAAAGTCCCCAGCATTTGATACAAAACTTTTAAATTAATTTAATAAATATTTCTTCACTTAATTATATATTTAGCCTGTATCTGAATCCCTGTCAGTTTGGATTTCCCTATTACAAAAAATAATAAATATATTCCTTCCTTTATTTTTTTCTAACATTTTAAGTTACACAAAATTAAAATCTTTTCACTCATTTTGTTTATAAAAAAACAGGGAAAATCATTTTAACTTCTAATTTTATTAAATTTGAATAGAAGTTCAGATAAATTAAGAATTTATTTAAAAAGAGTTTAAGACTTCAAATAAATTAAAAATAAAAGAATCCAAATTAAATTTCATTTTTTTCAACAATTAAATTTAATCTCTTCCATTCAGATACAAATATTTTTAAATATAAAATCAAAATTTGGCCAATCATTTTTTGCTTATTTTTGATATTTAAAAAAGGAAGGGATTGGTCAATTTACATAAATATTTTGTTAAAAAAAAGTAACTAATACTTTACTACTTCCACTGCTACTATTTTTGTAAAAAATATATGTATGAGTAAGAAGTGTTTTTTGGGAGAGAAAGGAAGCTAGCTATTTATTTATATACAATTTTAATTTTTAAATGTTTTTTTTTATTTTAAATATTTTCAAAAAAATGTGTTAATTTTCAGAATTATTTAGAAATTAAAAATGCTTCAAAAACACCAAAATAATTTATATTTATTACTTTTTCTCCTCCTATTTTCTTTCTTATTTATTTTAAATAATTTATTTTTTAATTCAAATATAATTTCCGAAAATAATTCTGATTTAAATATTGAAAATAAAGGAAGAATTTTTGTTTTAAAAAATAAAAAAGAAATTGAAATTTTGAAAGAATTACAAATTAATTATTTGAAAAGGAATATTAGAAGTTTGTTTTATATTTTTTTATTAGGCACTTTTAATATGTAAATACATGGAAATCTTTGGATATCCGGATCCGAACCGAAAATTTCCGGATATCCGGCCTTTTTTCGGATTTGGGTCCTCAGAAATCAATTTTGTCAAATTTAGGATCTATTCAGCACAAACTTTACTTAAAATTTTCGAATCCTCAGATCTGCGGCGGGCAGTTTTGATAATAAAAATTAATTTTATAATTTAATCAAATAAAATTATAAACTTTACAGAAAGACGAGCAATTAGCAATACAAATTTTGGAGTTAAATATTATTATGTTAGCAGAAACAAAAATGGAAATAAAAACAATTATTATTATTATTTTAATAATGAAGCAAAGAAAAAACAAAAATTCAAAAAATATTCATTATTATCAATAATTACAGCAAAAAATACAAATAAATGTCCAAGTAAATTAGATGCTGTTACTGAAGGTAAATTAGGGAGAAGTAGAGAAATATTTTTAAATTACTAAGAATTTTTATTTGAAAGAAAAATTAACTAAAATAATAACTAAAAATAATTATTTCTAAAAAGGAAAGTTAAATTAAATATTTTTTAGAAAATTTTCAAACATTTATTTATTTATTTAAGGCTATAATAAACGTTTATATTTATTTTCTGGTGAAATTGTTTATGAAGTATTTCGAGATATTTATGGACTTCAACAAAGGTTCCTTTTAAATAAATTCTAAAATAAAATATTTTCTTTTCTAGGCAAGCTTATTTAATTAGAGAATTATTTCCAAATGGCCCAAGACAAGTTACTGCCGTCTTGAGTAATCAGAAAAATGGAATTACTTTACTAATTGCTTGGAGAAGTGTTTATCGTTATAGATGGAATAACAAGAATAAACGATTTTATGTTTGTTTTTTTCAGAAAAATATATTTTTCTTGTAAAAATAATAATATTTTAACATTTTTAGATGGCAAAGAATAGTCCACGAGAATTACCTTTTAATATTACTTTTGTTCCTCGTATAGGATTTCAATGGAATAGAGGACATTTAATTTTAGCTAATGTAAATACAGAAAATTAATTTATTTCAATTTTTAATAGAAAAATCGTTTTGCTATTTATGATCCTTATTGGAATTTAGCTCCTTTTGTTTCAAAAGAAGCTGTTAATTATTTCCCAAATTTGGCATTAGAAAAACTTGTTGGTGTTTTGAAATATAATAAAGATTCCATGCTTTGGATGACTAAAGAGGGGAAAATTCTAGTAAATTTTTAAAGAAATATTTTTAAAAAGAAAGTAAACCTTTTAAACATTCCCTCTATTAAATATTTTTAAAAACAAAAATCTTTTTTAATTTTTAGTTATACGATTTGCATAAACACAAAATTGGAATAGAAATGCCAATAAATTTGTCAAAATTTATAGCTTGTCTGCTTTCTCCAAATTCAACAATTGGAAATTTTGGATTATAGAAAGAATAATAAAACGGGAATTATTTTAAAGAAAAAGAAATATTTATTTAAGAAAATTAAATTTTTTAATTTGTGCAATTTTGTTTTAGATAATTTAATTAAAAAGTTGGATTTTAAATATTAAATTAAAAACTTTTTTAAATTATTGTATAAATAATTTAGAAACTTACAAGTTTTATTCCAAGAAAAACAATTTATACAATAAATTACAGTATGTACAAATAATAGTTAGAATATTTACAGATGAGAAAAAAAGTTTTTTTTTTTAAGACAAAAGGGAAAATCACAATTTAGATTGGAAAACAAATATACCTATATTTTAGTTATTATATTACACACATATATATCACAACAATTCTATATATCCATATTACTTCTCTTTTGGCGGCGGTGTGTAAGCCCGAAATGCCAAGAAATCGTCACTCTTTTCATTCAGTTTAGCTCCAAGTTGCTGCGGCAAAAGAAGGACATCACCCTTTTCAATCTTTTCCTCATTGCCTTCATTTGGGAGTATTGTGGCAGAACCGTTGACGACTATCAAGATTGAAGCAGCGGCGATTGGCTGGACCACAGAGACTTCCTTCTGAAATTTTTTTAAAAATTAAAAAAACTTTTTCAAAGTCGTACAAAAAAACAGCTTACATTCAGTTTGTGGACTGCAAATTCTTGCACTTCAGGCGAATATTCATCTACACCGTCAGCCAGATGTTGTGGCTCAAAAATGGGCGGCCCTCCCATTCGGTAGGTGAGGTTCTCACAGAACAAGGGGACGTTTTTGAATTTTGGCGTGAGTCCAGCGCGAACAGTGTTGTCGGATTGAGCCATACATTCAATGCAATCTATTTAAGAGTAACAAATATTTTATGATTTTTAATAAGTTAATCACTCACCTCCAGACAAATATGAATGTGGTTCGTTTGGTCCGAGAAATGTCGCTTGTCCAGGTTTGAGCTTGACGTAGTTAAGGAAGAGCGGCGCCAGAATCCCAATGTCTTCAGGAAAATGTTCGCTGAGACCCATAATCAATTCGTCTGTTTGTGATCGTTGTTCCTCTAAAAAGTAACAAATTTTATAAATGGAAAAGCAAAATGTTTGAAGTACTTACTCAGAAAGATGTCCGAAAGAAGTTTTGTGAGCAAAGTCCCAATCTCTTCTGGCGGAATAGTCCAAATCTGTGTGAAGATATTCTTTAATGCACCCTTCTTCTCCTCCTCGTCTGTAGTCGCGCCGAAACTTGACAACACCTTTTCGCCTAACAATTCAACAAGTGCCTCATGTGAGCGAAGGTTGTTGAGAATTGTGTCCGACATTTGGAATCCGCAGAGAATCTCGAAATTCGTTAGAGCGATCGTTAGCTCCGGTTTGTGGTTGGCATCTGGATAATTGGTTTGATCAGCGGCATGGAGTTCTCTGGCTTGTTCCTGTCAAAATATAACAAAGATCTTTATTAAACTACAAAGATCCAAACCCGCGTTGGATGCAACTGCAAAGACAAGCATTTGCCAACAGAGAGCACTTTGAGCAGGAACTGAAGACCGACACCATCCCTTTCGTGTTGCCCGAGAACATCCGGATGATCCCTGAAGTAGTCTGCCAACGGAATCCGTGCTTCACCTTCTTTCACTTGCGATGGTCCTCTTGCATGCGTGCCCATCCACAACTGAAATAAAAAACATGAGACATCTCATCTTCCTCAACAAAAGAACCTCCGCATAAAACTCGTCCTCCTCAATTGTATCCTTTCGCAGCTGGGCCACAGTGCTTTCAGCGCCTTTTCTGCCCCATTGGTAGTGAAGAGCCTTGCAATCGAGCCTCTTCATGACGCTGTTACCTTGCGGATTGAATAGCGAACAATGGCTAAAAACAAAAAATTTTAGAAAGTACTAGACGCCGCTGACAAAACTCACTCGAATAACAGGAGAAGCGTTGCCAATGGGAACAAGAGCGGCTGGAAAGTAGCAGTAGTCGAGTTGATTTGAAGATGATGCAAGCAAAAAGAATGAGCTTTTATAGTATCAGCGGGTACACCTCAGTTCGGCGCGCACGTTTCGGGGCCAGTTTTTCGGCGCAGCATGTTTTTAGCGTTTAGAGAAAAAATTAAATTATACAAATGTTAGCTAAATTTTCCCTTTTTTGTTTATGCCTTTTAGTTTCCTCAAACAAAGTTAAGTATCTCATGTCTTACACACCTAAATAACTAAAAGCTAAAAACGAGATAATTTTTATCCTTTGTTAAACAAATTATGGAAAAAAGGTAAAGTAGGGATAATAAGGGGAACTTAAAAACGGTACATGACTGTATTTTTTAATGTTAGATTATAAATTTAAAGAAATGCGTTTCGCCTCTCGTCTTTTAACAAATCAATTATTCGAAAGATTTGGAATTCAAAATATTCAAAAGCCAACAACAATTTATCTTAAACATGTAAAATGGGTAACTGGTCGAAGTCAATTAGAAAAACATTTTGATCGTTATGGGAAAATTAAAGATGTCAGCCTTTTCTTTGTATGTTTTAATTTTTGGTTTTATAAATATATTTTCTTATTCAGGATCCAAAGACTGGATTACATCGAGGATTTGCTTCAATTACTTTTGCTCATTCGGATTCTGTTGAGGGCGCACTTCGCGCTCGTCCTCATTTTATTGACGGAGCTGAGGTTTTTTTTTAAAGAATTTTTGGCACCTTGTCTTTTAATAAATAATGACAGATTTTTTTAAATAAGTTGAGTATTGATAGCATGCCTCCCTATAGGCGTCTCTTTCATTGTTACGTTCACACAATTCGGTCTCGCATTCAAAGGAAACGTGCTATCAACATTCGACTGTAATAAGTAAGAATAAGTGTTTTAAAGGATTGGTATATTTATTCAATTATTTCTGTTATAAAAAACAATCGTTTATAGAATAGTCCATTCAATAATCTTTCGATAGATACCAATGAGTTGGATTCTTAAGACAGCGATAACTTTCAGTCATTTAAGTCACTACTTTTAGCAAAAATTGAAAAAGATCTTCAAAAATTTTAATAAATTAATTTAATTTTTAGGTTTTAGTCGAAGACCGTCTTCCAATGGAACGTCTGAAGCATGACAAATTTTCTACACATGAAATCCAAAAAGGTTTGCACGAACGACAGGGGCATCAGAATCGAAGATAAATAGTCATTGACTGATTGAAATTAAGTATCATTTGCCAAAATTTAAATGATTTTTATTTAAAAATTCTATGCTTATTTCAATCTCTGGTGATGTTTATTAGATTAAATATTATGTTAAAACTTGCAGGGAAATTTTATTTTACAAGAAGAGTAAATTATAAAAAAATCATTGCCCAATTTCTACATATTAGCATTATAAATTTGGAATATTGGCTATATTTTTCTAATTTTTTTCTATGGACCAATAGAGAAGAAAAGTACAAAAAAGTCTTCAATAAAAATTTTGGCTTTAATATATTCAAAAAAAACAATTTAAAATTTAGGTAAAGGGAGTATTAAAAGTTTCATAAGCGAGTTCTTCTGTGTGTGTTTTATCATTAGTCACTCCAATAAAGTCAATTTCTAATCTGAAAGGTCCTTCAAGATTATCCATTAAAGTTATTCCAATTGAACTAAAAGAATATTGAACATTGAATTTAATTTCAATAAAACCTGGCACAATTTTGATAAAATTTTAATTGTCTATCCATTATTCTTCCACCATATGTATAGAAAAATCTAGAAAATGGAATCATTTCAAATTGCCAATAAGGGCCTCCATGAGTATGTAATGGATATGAATGTGTATCTAGTGAATTAAAAAAAGAAATATTTTAAAAAATTAATTTCAAACCTCCCCAAGTTACATCCCAACTTTCTGGTGAATGTAACATTATTTTGTATGAACGGCCATCACCTCGACACTTGAAAGGAAAAATATACAAATTATTTTTGAAAAAAGAAAAACTTTAATAAGTAAATGGCTGTAATATCCCCATTCCTCATATCTTTTCTTTAAATTTAATGACATCATATCAATTGTTTTTATCGAACACCATCCTGCACATTCTGTCCTTCCATCCTTAACAACTTTTTGACTTAAATATCCTTCAAAAATAGCAGTTCCTCTATCAGTTTTGTAAAAATCACATTTAGAATACCCTTCACTCCAATCAGAATCACTTCCCGTCTGCCAATATTCAAAATCCTAAAAAAATAAAAATTTAAAAAAATTATTTATTTTAATTACTTCATCAGTTCTAAATTCATATTGAATAAATGTTTCTGTATGTGCTGTATCACTCTGCTTTCGCAATAAATTTGGATGATCGACTAGATAAAATTTTTGTCGAAAATGAGTAGAAAGTTTCTAAAAATTAAATAATTGTTTTAGACATCCCCAGCTTTGTTTTTATTTCTAAAAGCTAATTTTCCTTACAAACATTACTAAAAATCAATAAATTTATCAATAAATTTTTCAATAAACCCAACTAAAAACCTTCTAAAAAAATTCCCTTTTTAAAAATCCAAACCTTAGCTTCCTTTTTCAAAATTTTTGGAGAATCTTCTAACAAAACATTTAAGGGAATATCTACATCTAATTGTACCAATCCTCCTTTTTTGTCGATAACTCCCAAATTTGTTTGAGGAACATTTCCAGGTTTAAACTCCAAAATTTCTTTAAATTTTTGAAAAGCTGTTTTTTTAATTATTTTATTTTTAATTAATTTTTCTTTTTTAATTGGTTGATGATTTTCTCTTTCATCAATATAATCTGATGATGAATTAGAAGTACTTGAATTACTTGCAAATATAAAATAATTAGAATGTGGAATTGTTGATTTTAAAAGAATAAATGATTTATTGTTTAAATATTTTTTGGAAAACATCTAAAATTATTATTAAAATATAAATTTAAAAATTAATGTTTTTGATTAAAAAGAATTGTAATTCTCAAATTATGTAACAATAATCCGAAAAAAAGCGGATAGGGCCGATTATTTTAACAAGTCCCGGAAATTTGGAGTCAACCCAAAAAACCTACAATTTTTGAAAGCGAATATCAAAAGAGGATATCAAGGATTTGGAGGGAATAAAGGGATATCGATGGATTTAGTGTGATTGAATGGGATAGAGATCTCTAACAACCTGAAGTTATGGTACGCATTTAAAATACGGCGTTCTAAAATACATACCGGGTACTTATCTTCATAGAGCTGGGTATTTATCTTACTTAATCCCTCTAAATCCCTCGATATTCGGTTTAAAAATTTGTAGGTCTTTTGCTTGTAGGTCTTTTAGGCCAAAGGTTTTTTAGTTGTAGGTCTTTTGAGTCAAAGGTATTTTGGGCGTAGGTCTTTTAGGTGTGGGTCTTTTGGAGTGAACAGGATATTTGGCCATTGGAAATTTGGTCTCCAAGATTTTTTGGGAAGTTGGCTAACAAATTTTTGGAATTTTGTTAAATATGTATGTATAACGGGAGCAGCAATTTCCTGTGAAATTCCCGTTGGCAAGATTTCCGGTATTTTTAGTTAGAAATAAACGACAAGATTTTTGGGAAAAAATATTTTTGCAATTGAGAGATAGCTGCTGCTAAGATCAAGCAAAATATTGCACGGCTTCGGCAAGAAGATTAACAACAATTTAATAGCAATCCTGATATTATTGATCTCCTTAATAAATTTCTTATCTTCAATTAATCAAAAATAAATTTATGAACATAAAATTTTTTCCATTATCCAATTATTTCCCTCAATCGGTATAATTTATTTACAGACAGCCGACTTTTTCTCATTTCCTCAACTTCTGTTTGTAAAGAAAAAGCTGCTCCTTCTTTAAATTCTTGGTCGGGAATTTTTGTTGTATTTTTATATTTTCCTCTTGTTTTATTCTTTTGGCCCATTCATATACTCAACAAACAAGGTAAAAAAAGTAGTGAGCGATGTAAGGGGGAGAGAGAATATTTGGCAGCACAACAAGAAGAATATATGGGCTTTTTCCTACTTCCGTTTCTAACTTTTATTTAACTGGAATGTTTACTGATTGGGGAAAGATGGAAAATAGTGGCAGTGATCAACCGGCAGTCAAAGCGCTCCTCTTCCTTTTTTCTTTTATTTTTCCTCTTAAGCTTTATTCCGAAATGACTAAATACATACAATTAGGATTCTCCTTTTCTATAGCTTCCTTCCATCACTACTTAACTTTCTTTTTCTTTGTCTTTATAGTTTACCTTCTTCACTAACAAATAAGTTTACCTTTCTTTTTTGGCCGTTCTTTGGGACAACCGATTCTGTGAAGAGCAGCAAAACATTTTACCTAAAGAAAATGAGAGAAGAAAATTAATGGAAGGAAGTGGGGATATGAAAAGAAGAAATTCAAGTTGAGGAGCTGTCAGTGAATGAAAAAAAAACTTCTGGTTAATTGTATTAAGATAAAATTGAAATTTTTGGAAAAATGAAAATTATAAAGGAAGGACAAAAAGAATATAAAGTGAAAGATATAATTTTTTGGCCCTCCCCTTCTCGACTACTACCTAAATACCTTTACATAAAAATTTTTCTTTTCAAACTCAATTCCTTTACACATCCTTTCCTCAATCGCGTGCGCGACTTCTCCTCCCTTTTTCTTTTATAGCTTCCTATACTCAGACAAGCACAAAACTTTTTCTTGGCCCACTTTTGGATCGTCCCATTTTCGCATTGTTTTCATTCACTTTCCCATAAATGAGCAAACTTTAAAGAAAATAAAGTCAGTCGGAGGGGGGGGGGAGGATTTTGGTTAAGTTGAATGTTCACTAAAAATATATTTAAAGCTAAATAATAATAAACCAACTAAATTTTATATTTAGACCGTTCAATCATAAAAAAGGTTAGGATTTAATTTATACAACAAACTATTTTTTACTGTAATCTAATTGGATGCTTTTGCATTTAAAAAAATCTTTTTTCCTCATCTACTACTAAAATACTTCTTGTAAAGCTTTTAGTTAAATATTATTTAAATTTATCACAAAGACATTTTAAAATTAATGTTTTACAAAAAAAGAGAATATATTTCTTTTTCATTAGAGCGCATCTTCAAATAAAAAAAATTTTTGAATTGAGATCGTCCTCGGAAAAAAACTTTTTATTTTTTTTGCCAGAAGTTTATTTTCTTTCAATAAATTAAAATCCTTTTTCATTCCACCATTCATTTTGGCATATTTGTCGGCTTTATTCTTTTCTTAGATACCGTACAAGGAAGGGGATTTTGTTTTGTGGATGTCTTTTTTGCTTTTTTTTTGTTAGCTGCCGAATTGCTCTTTTTAAACTCCTCAAAATATTTACTTTCAGAAATAATTAATTTTGTGTAGCTCTTCTGGCAAGTTACTTGTTAATACTTTTGAATACCTTTCATCTAAAAGCGTTAATTGCTTTCAAAATGATTATTTTTTTAATTAAAATTATCTTTAAACCTTTTAATTATTTATTTATTTCTAATTTCTATTATCTTTATTTACTATATTTTTTTCCTAAAATTTGACTGTCATTTGCTGTCTGTTGTTCTATAAATTGAGTGATTGGATTTAAAATCTTTTTCTTTCACTTTTTTGGTTTTCATCATTTCCTTTCATTGCTTTATTATTTTTATCCCATCAATTCCTTCCCAGGCAATTTCTATCAAATCTTTTTCTTTCTCGATTTAAAAAATCTTTTTTTTTATTTCTTTCCTCTTTTAGTTTCTTCCCTTCTCGGGCCAAATATTCTCGAGGGCGGTTAAAGGCGCACAACACATGGCGTTATTACTGCCTATGGCAATAAGAAAATTCTTCTTTAGGAGAAAAGTAGAAAAGGGAAATTGGTTCACAAGAAGCGATCGAAAATGGGCGGATAATAAATATATATAAAGTTATTTAGATGGGAAAATGGAGAAATTAAAAAAATTTTTTTAACAGGGAATTAGCAAAAATACGGGAAGCCTGTTTTCGAGCTGATTAAACTGAAAAACCCCTTGGGGACTATATCAAGGGAGTGTTAAAACTGTTCGAAACTTTGTCCAATTAAATAAGACTGCGTTGATTTTTGTTTCTCTTTCAATTAAGCTATCAATTACACAATTTTTTAAATTATTATAGCCTCATTTTTTTCATCATTTGCTTATTTCTTCATAAACTTTTCATACCTCAATACTCCATTTAGATCCAGAATTCTTTATTTTATCCAAGTATCTGTACTTGTTGTTCTAAATATCCTCCTTTTTATTTTACAACAAAGTAAAGACCGAAACAGAATTCTTTTTTTCTTTCCCCAAAAAATATCCCAATTTCGGTGAAGAAGAAAAAAAGAAAATAAAATATATTAATTCCTTTACTGCCTGAATTGGCCATTCATCTTCTCTCATTTGGCCATTCATTTACCAAAAAACTTTTTTTACAGGCCAAATGTCCCAGCTGTAATCCTTTTTCTATATTCCATCACTTTCTCCCTTATGTCGCTTCATCGCGCTTTTGCTTATTTTTTAGCCTTTGGCGGGGGCATTGATTCTCTTTTTATTAGGGTTGTCGATTCTTGGAAAATTTACGGATATCCGGAGATTATTTTTATAATTAAAATTCTCTTGCAAGTATTTCTTTGTTATTTTTCAGATAAATTTAAAAAAATGAGAGTAAAAGAAGAGCCAAAACAAGAAACGAATTCAAGTGATAAATCACCAATTAATGAAGAATGTTCTTCATCTTCTTTTGATCCTAAAAATCAGCAAAAACAATTTATTTTACAATCAGAATTCGAGAAAATGTTAGAGCAATTAACTAAACAAAATAATGAAGAAGAAAATATTGAAAATGGAAATGATGAAGAGGAGGAGGAAGAAGATGAAGAAGAGGATGATGGGGAGGAAGAGGAGGAGGAAGAACTGAAGGTGGGTAATATTGAAAAAATAAAAAATAAATAAGTGATTAAAAACCGATTATAAAATCCGACAAATAATTATTTCTGTCTCTGATTAAGAGCCTTAGAATCTCTCCAATTTTTTCCCTTTTCTCCCCTAAGGAATTCCTTATATGTATTAAGTTTATTATAAATTTTTCCTCAATTAAATTTTAACCAAAAAAAATTATTTAAAAAAATATTTCACCAATCTCTTTCCCTCTTTCTTTATTTAATTTACAGTAATTTTATAACCACAATTCTCTATTTCCTTTTTCATTCCTTTCCTTACCGCGAAAATTTATTCCTTTTATTTTATGCGTGCTTTGGGAGGTTTTTATTTAAAATTAAAAACTTTTAAAAATTCTCATTCATTTAAAATTTATATTTTAAAAATTAACCATTATATTTATTTAAAAATTCTTTTTCCTTCTTTAAACCAAAATATTAGAATACCCTTAATTTATTTAACGAGACAGTTTTGTGTTTATTTTTTAATTAAACAAAATAATCAAAAAAACTTTTTATCAAAAATTATTAAAAACTATTTAATTTTCAAATAATTTTTCTTATATTTATTTTTGCTATTTCTGTGAATGCCATAAAGACTCGGAGAGAACCAGCCGCGAATTGCTAATTAGGCAGCCAATGAAAATATTTTTTTAGAAAAAATAAGGAAATTATTAAAGAAAAGGGAAGAGCAGGTATATTTTTGAGGAATTTATTTGGATGGAAATCGACTGAAAATGAGTCGCCAAATAATTGGAAAAATCAGGAAAAATTAAGAAAAATAACTCCGGTTTCGGAATGGTTGTCAAATCTGACGGGGAAAATGTGTTTTAAAAGAAATAAGGTTAAAAATAGGAGAAACAGAACAATTATTTAACTCTACAAAACGTTAATGTTTGGGAAATTATTTAGTGTATTTTTAAATAAAATTAATATTTAAAATAAGAAATTATTGAAGGTAAAAGTCTGTTTTGGAGTGCCGGCTTTTGGTTGAAATACCAGCCGACCCCTGACAGTTTTTGAACGCTTTCTGTATTTTTGCAGCGTTAAAAACTTTAATTAATTTTTTTTAATTTTATATCCGCAACTGTCATATCTGGAATTGCAGACGGCCCAATATTTAAAAAATTAAGAGAAAATCAATTCTTTAATCTTCTAAATAAATCCCCAAATTTTAAGAAATAAATTAATAAAACAAAATTATTAATTCCAATTTATTTCTCATCATTTTCTTCTTTTTTGGATTTATTTTTATTGGTTTTACCTTATTAATTCAAAACTTTTTTTTGTCATATTCCATCTCAATCCAATAGTTCTTTTCTTTTATTTTCATCTTCTCTCCATATTTGTTAGTTTTTGACGGCTGGTTATTAAACACAAATATTTTTAATGGGTAGAGAAAAACAAAAATAAATATTTTGATGAAAATAAATAAAAAAATAAAAATAATTATTTCTTATTTCAAAAATTATTAAACAAAATTATAATTTATTTTATCCCCTAAGTACTACAGGGTGACTCAAAGATATCTCGAGACCTTTCATTTCATCATAGCTTTTTCCTCGTTTACATTTTCTACTATGTACATATTATACAAAATCTTTCCATTCGCCCCTTGAACTCTGTATCCAATCAAATATTTTTTCCTTATTTAATTCTCTATCATTTAAGCTTTATTTGATCTAATTATCTTTAATTTAAATATGTAAAGTTATTTCATAAATAAAGTGTCCAAATATTTTTGGGTCTTAGAATTTCTACAAAATTTAAAATCTTTTTTTAATTTATTTTAGGGAATGACTTCTTTAATAAATAATAACAATACAATTACAATTCCAAAACAAAAATTACTAAATAATCAACAACCGGAAGAAGAAGTGAGAAAAAAGAGAGGGGCAGGAAGTAGTAATTGTATTCTTTTACCAAATGGGAAAAAAACAAAAGGAAGAGTTAAAATAAAAATGGAATATATTGGAAATAAATTGAGAAGATATACAACTTTTAGTAAAAGAAAAACTGGAATTATGAAAAAAGTTTTTTTTATTTTAATTTAAAAATTTAAATAATGTGTTTAATATCAAAAGAGTATCACTATTTTTTAATAATGTCGGCACAAAAGTTGCCTAGTGCAAAAGTCCGCCTTTAAATTCTAAATCTTTTTCTCTAATTTTTGGATTTATGTTTAAAATAATTTTCAAAAATGGGGGGAATATGGAATATGTCAATATTTTGTATTCTCCAATAATTTTTCTTTATTTATAAAAATTAGGCAAACGAACTTTCAACATTGACAGGCACACAAGTACTTTTACTTGTTGCATCTGAAACTGGACATGTTTATGCATTTGCAACAAGTAAATTAAAGCCTATGATACTCTCCGAACCTGGAAAACAATTAATTCAGGTAATTTTAACTTTAATTTAAATTATTTTGATTTTTTAAATTTAGAATTGTTTAAACGCAACAGAAGGTATTTTTTCTTTTTAAAAATATTTTACAAAAAATATTTAATAATTACAGTATTTCCTCTCTTTTATTCTTCCCTTTTTTAGTTAAAATTCCCTCATTGGTTGTTATTTTAATTGTGCTTTCTTTTAGGAAGGAAAAAATCTTTTTTTTAATTTTAAGAACAAATAATAGACCCAATGCCAACAAAAACAGAATTTACTTTTGAACCACAAACATTAGGAATAACCCCAATAATAACCCCTCAACAACAACAATTAAATAATCCAAGAAAAAGAAAATTAGTTTCTGATTTATTTCAAATTAATGATTCTTCTAATTCGGTGAGAAAAAAATTAAAAAAAATTCTTTTTTGTCTGGGGTTTTTATTAAAATTTTATTTTCCATTTCCGCAACATTTTATAAAAAAATTAAAACTAAAAAATGCTAATTTTGTTAAAATTTAAGAAAAAAAGTAAATTTTTATTTAACGCTTTAATGAAAGGAATAAAATAGGTAGTTAAAAAATTATTCTTGAAAAGTTTTCTCAAAAAACTGAAAATTTTTAATTTAGCCTAAATAAAGGTTCTAAAAATATTTTTGTTATTTTTAGAAATTATTAAAAGTTAATTAGGAAATAAAATAAAAAAAGATCAATTAATTAATTAATTAATTAATTTTTATTTAGTTAATTATTCCACCAAATATTTCATCAAATAATAATTCAAATGAATTAAAAACATTTTGTGATAATAAAATAAATAAACAAAAACCAACATTAGATGAATTATTATTTTCTAATATTGAACAACAAAGGAAAAAAATAAAAAAAGATAAGGCTAGTTCAAATACTTTTAATTAATTTCTCATTAATTTCTCTAAAATTTCTTTTAGCCTTCTTCCTCTTCTTCTCAATCTTCCCCAAACAATTCACATAATTATCTCGAACCTGTCCAAACATTTGTAGATTCCAAACAACAATTAAAAACATTAAAAGAAGCACTTAGAGCAGCTTCAGAAAATCGTGAACGTCTACAACATAAACAACAACAAAAACAACAAAAAACACAAAAACAACAAGAAAATAATAATCAAAATAATCTACAAACATCTTCTCAACAACAACAATCATTAATGAATAATAATAATAGTCAACAATTAGGGGCAGCTTTGTTACCTTTTTTACTTCAAGGTAATTATTTTAATTATTTTAATTTATTTATTTTCCCTTTGCACTTTTAATTAATTTTAACAATAAAAATACATCTCAATCTTCCCCAAACAATTAATATTACACCCTAAATTAATTAATTACACCCTTCACCCCCCCCCTCCCCCACCCACCTTTGCTAACTTGTAAAAATTAAACAAAAATTCCTTTGAAGGTTTAATGGCATGTTCTTCAAACTCTTCTACTACTTCTACAACCATTCCCTCCCCTTTCTCTAATAATTTATTATTACCCTCTTCGTCTTCTACTTCTTTACCTTCAAATCCTTCCCCAATAAATAAAAGAAAACATTCTTCATTACAACAACAAAATAAACAATTCCCCCCAATTCTTTATCAAATGCCTCAAGGTGTTGTTTATGCAGCAGACGATGAAGAAGAAGAAAAAGAAGAGGTGGAGGAGGAGGAGGAAGGAGAGGAAGAAGAAAATAAAAATAATATAATTAAATATAGCAACAATTTAATTCAAAGTTTGTTCTTCAAAAATTCCAAAATTAAAAAAATAAAAAATTACCCAAAAATAAACATTTTTCTCTAATTTGCACATTCCCCCTTTTGTAAATTATTTTTAAAAAAATAAAAATTAATTTTTAAAGCAAGTTGTATGGCAGCAGTATGTTCAGGTGTATCAACATCCTCCTCCACTCCAATTAATTGTGGAAATGATAATTTATTTAAAGAAGAAACAACAACAAATAATTCTTCAACAGGAAATGCTTTACAAAATTTACTTACTGCTGGAATTTTGCCTTTGGCTAATTTAACTGCTCAACAAGTATTGAAATTGGAATACATTTAATTTTAAATAATTTTTTTTTTAGATTTTAGCAAATGCTTTGAAAGGAGGAGGAGGAACAACAGGAGGGGGAAGTGGGGCAGGAGGAGGAGAATCTACAAGTTCATGCAATAATGATTAAATTAGAAAATATTATTATTTTTTAATAATTATGTAGTGATTTATTTAAATTAATATATTCTCGAATCTTTTCACTTTTTATTAAACTCGCTAGCAATATTTTAATGGAAAATACAAAAACGTATTTTATATAGTCGAAACTAGTGTTCAGTAAATCTTTTTTCGGTACTGGTAGTTCTGCCCCGACAATGTCTGTATCGGTAGACCTGAAAATACCGATTCGATGCTTTCGATTATACCGAACAGTGTCGAACTCTAGTCGAAATTCTTTATAGTGTACCTCTTTAGGTACTCCATATTTAATTGTATTGTGGTTATTATTTTGGGATTTTAAAGAAAAATATTAATTCGTAACTTTAATTTAAAAATAATTTATTTTATTTAAATTTTATTTTTTCAATAAACGTCTTCTTCTTCTCGACATCCAACCACCTTCTTCCCTTCTTTGTACACAAATTAATAAACATTCTTTTTCTGTTTTTATTGGTTCTTCTTCAAATATTGAATCCTTTAAATTCTTTTTATTTAAAAAAAAATTAATTCAAAAAATACATTGCAATATCCATAAGGATAAGCAAAACAATTATTCCCTCTTTGATACCAACGAAGAGTAAATTGGCTAGTTAATCCGTTTGAAGGACAAATTGTTCTGTATGGAGTTATTTTTTCACATCTTTTTGATTTTATATTTGGACGTTGTTCTGAAAGTAAAAATTCTGCTAATTCTGCTGAGGCAGAGGAAGGAGGGACTTTAATTGGGTTATTTTGAGGAGGATAATGAAATGATGAGGAATTGGCCTTTAAAATTTATTTTTTTTATTTTTAATTTTAAATTAATTTACAATTATTTTGTAAGATTCCAAATTATTTTTTTCATTTTCAGAGTCAATATTAATTGTTTGGAAAGTTGAAGTTGTAATTGTTTCTTCTTTAATTTCTTCCTTCTCCATTAATCTAACAACACCAGAAATTTGTTTATTTGGTTGTTGTTCTTCTTCTTTAATTAAATATTTATCTAATTTATCTGTACATAAAGCTTCACATTCTTTAAGTGTTCGAATTGTTTTATCTGTTGCTATTGGCTCTCCTTTATTTTAAATTTTAATTATTTAGAAAAGAGTTTTTTTGGAAATAAATTTTATTTTATGTTTCAAGCCCAATACCTATCAAACAAATAATTTTGGGGAAGTTTTTCGTGTTGTTAATTATTTTTCTGATTTTGAAATTTATTTTTAAAATTATTTTTTTATTTTAAAGCTTTTAACTCCCAAGCCCCTAAATCTCTTTTAATTTCCCTCTCTCTCTTTCAAAAAAATATTTAGATTACCTGGACAATACCCCCAAGGATATGAATAACATATTCCTTCTTTAGCAAACCATCTCATAACAAATTGTGTTCTTTTATTTCCATTTTCACAAAAAGTCTCTAAACGTTGCCTTTTACAACTAAATTCTTCTCCACTTGCATCAATATAAATTTTTTTAGAAAATAAATTTTTTGGTTTCCAAATATTTGCTTCAAAAAGTTGTTGTTTTTTAATTTCTTCTAAAGCTACTGGGGAGTCTCTAACAGATTGAGAATTAATTGGGGAATTATTTTGTGAAGATAATGATGGAAATATTGAAGATTTTGTTGTTTTCTTTTGAAATTTAAATTTAAGAAAAGAATTTAAAAAATATATAAGTAATTTACATTTTCAATAGATGGTGGACGTTCCCTTGCAATTAATTTCCCATAATGTTTCTCTAAAAGTTCCATTGCATTAACGATAGATTCTGATTGATTTCTTTAATTAAAATAGTTTAAAAATTAATTTATTTTTAAATATCTAAATAATCTTTAATTAAAAATCAAAATTTTTGTTTATGTATATTCAACAACCATTAAATACCAATAAATTAATTAAAACTTAACTGTTCATTATTATTTAATTGTTCTCTATTAATTCCTTCATTACTACTACCTTCTCTTTTTATTTCAGCACTTACTTCATTGTAAAGTCTTTAAAATAAATAAATATTTTTTTTAATTTCCAAAAATAAACTTGAAAAGTTCGGGTAAATTTGGACAACAAATTCCACTTCCATTATTATTTTCACATTCAAAACCGGCAGGACAATCATTGTCAAAGCATTGGAAAACACGTTCTTCTCCCTCTAATAAAGGGCCTTTTCCATCTTTACATAAAATGGAAGTTTTGTTTTGGACAAAATTGGAAGTAGTTAAAGGCAAATTTGTTGTTAAAAACAATACACACAAAGCTATAAATAAATTGGTTTAAAAAGTTTGGATATTTGGATATAAAAAATCTAGTTAAACTTATTTAAAATATTTAAAAAATATTTAAAAAATATACAGAAAAAGACATTATTTTATATATTTAAATAACTTACCGGTAATTAAATAATTACAAAATTTTGACATATTAAAAGAATTTATTTTAGAAAATTATTGAGGAAATTTAAAAATAAGAGATAAAATAAATTAAAATTTAACCTTTGAATAAAAAAAAGGACCGCCTACCTCTATATCCTCTTACCGGATAATAATTAAATAAATATATTTTACTTGAATGATTTATTTATTTTTTAATGTCGCCAGCTTGATATTTGAGAATTTAAAAATAAAGTAAATCCATCAAGTCTTTTTTCTTCAAGCGAACAGGTAATGGAAAGAAAAAACCTGTTAAAGTAATATATTCTTTAATTAATAAAAAAACATTCCGGAAAATAAAGAAAAAAAATTATTAAATTATAGTAAATAAATAGCAAGAACTAACCGGATACAAATAAAGCCGGTTATTCTTTCGATATTCTTTTATTAAATGAAATTTTCGAAGTTTTCGATTTCCAAATTTTTTATAAAGTTTAATTTTTCTTTTTTTAAATACTGTTCAATATTCTCAAATATTTTATTTATTATTTTTTAATTAATAAACAAAAAATTGGGTCAATTATATAGAAAGAAATAAAATTTATTTTAATCAATTTATTTATTCATTCGATCAACAAAAGCATTTATTAAAATATTTTTGTTAATTAAAATATAATTTATTTTTATGTCTTTGATTGAAAATGAAAAAGTAGAAGATGTTAATAATTATTTAAATGAAGAAATTAAAATAATTATTTTAGGGGCTGGACCGACAGCTTTGGGTAATTTATTTGAAAAATAAACAATAAATATTTTAACTTTTAAGGAGCACTTAATCGAATTTTTAAACTCAAAAAAGACAAACTAATAAATGTAAGAAAAAATTAAATTAAAATAATTGTTAATTTAAAAAAGGAAAATATAAATGTTTGTGTAATTGAACAAGAAGAAGAAATTGGAGGGTTGGCACGAAGTGTGATTGATGAAAATGGTTTTTGTTGGGATTTGGGTGTTCATGTAATGGGTAGAAAATAATTAATTAAATTTAAAAATAATATTTTTAAAAAGGAATTAGTAAATACAAAAATTTTGTTGAAGCAATGGAGGAATGTGTGACAGAATGGGAAATTATACCTCGATGTGCTATGGTAATTAAAATTTTGGATTGAAAAAAAAGAATTATTTTTATTTATTTTTAAGGCAGAAATGTCCCATGTTATGATAGAAAATAAAAAAGAAGAAGAAAATTTAAATAAAATTAATTATTATATTCCCTATCCAGTTCAAAATTCAATTCCTTATTTTCCCAAAAATTTAAAATTAAAATGTTTGGAAGAATTAAATTTTAAAGAAAAAGAAGGAGAAAAAAATAATTGTTTAGCAACAAAAATACCGGAAAAAGAAGAAAATTTTGATTCTTTTTCTCTTTCACTTTTTGGAGAAACTTTGCAGAAAATATTTGTTAGACCATATAATGAAAAGGTATTTTTAAATATATGTATCTTTGGCTAGTTATCAAGAATGTGCCCGGATTGTGAAATAAAAATCGGGTCGGGTGGGTAAATCTTTACGCAATTCTATTCACCTTCAAATAAAATTAGTTAATTTATTTAATTGTTTTCACAAAATATTTTAAAAAAGGTCTGGACAGTCCCAATTTCCGAAATGGGAACTAGCTGGTTACAAGGCCGTGTTCCTTTAATTGATTTATCACAATTAAAACGTCGTTGTTCACTTTCTCACCAAAAATTGTTAATTGAAGATGAAAAACGTCAAACAGCTTTTCGTTACCCTGCAAACTGTAAAGGGATTGGAGAAATGTGGAAACGTTTTTCTGAAAGATTTCCCTCAAAAATATTTAATTTTGGACAAAAAGTTGTGGAAATTAATTCAGAAACAAAAAATATTTTTTGTTTAGACAAAAATGGAAATAAAAAGGTGGGGGAACTAGTTAGTTAAAAAGAAAATAAAAAAATAATTAATTTTTATAGAAATTTAATTATAATTTACTTATTTCAACAATTCCTTTAACTGAATTAGAAAAAATGATTGGAATTAATAATTTATCTAAACCTTTAAAACATTCTACAGTAATTCTGGTTGGAATTGGATTATTTGGAGGGAAAAATGATTTTGTTAAAAAATTAAGTTGGGCATATTATCCAAGAAAAGAAGTTTAATTTTGAATTAAATCTGTAATTAATTTTGTAATTATTTCTTTTTAAAAGATTTTATTTTATCGATGCACAATTATTTCCAACTTTAGTTCAGAATTAATTCCCCCTAAATGCTCTTCTTCTTCCTCCTCTTCTTCTTCTAATTTAATTGAAAATAAAAATAATAATAATAACCAATTTTGGTCAATATTATGTGAAATAGGACAGAGTTCGGATAAAGAATTGCCTTTAGAAAATGAACAAAAAAATAAAATTTTTGATAAAATAATTAAAGGTTAATTGAATTTAATTAAATAAATAAATATTTGAAAAGATTTAATTTCTGTTGGTATAATAAATAAAAAAGAAAATATTTGTTCAAAATGGATTAAATGTTTACCTTTTGGTTATCCAATACCTACAAAAGAAAGGGACTTTATTTTAAAAGAATGTCACAAATATTTGGAAAAATTACAAATTTATTCGAGAGGAAGGTGATTTTTAATTATTTAAATATGTAAATTAATTTAAAATTAAAGATTTGGTGGGTGGAAATATGAATTATCTAATCAAGATGTTTGTTTTCAAATTGGAATAGAATTAATTGACAGAATATTTTTAAATATTCCTGAAAAACTTTATATTTAAATTATTTCTAGTATTTCCTTTTCTGATCCTACTTTTTTAATTTTTTTTGAAAATTTTGTTAAAATTTTGATTATTTTAAGACATTTTGAGGACGGCATATTTTTAGATTTTTAAAAATTATTAAAATTTAATTTAAACTTTTTAAATCTAATTTCGATCCCAACGAATCACCCTACTTATGGCTAACATAAATATTTAAATAAAACAAATATTTCCTTAATTGTTGTGTTAGATTTTAGGCATATAGGTATAATTTGGTGAATAAATAAATTGTTTATTAATAAATTTCAAAAAATCTTTTTTTATTTTAATTTGTAAAATAAAATTTTTCAAAAATATTTCAAAATCACAGAATAAATATATAATTGAGGTAAAATCAAAAAAAAAATATTTAAAAACCCGCATTTGGAGTGAGTAAATTTGTCTGTTGTTTATTTTCATCATTCGAATCTTCTTTTATTTTTTCCTCTAAATATTTGGGAAAGTTAGATCCTCTCCTTTGTTTTTGTTGTCTTTCTTTCCAATCACGCATACTTAAATGGCTTTGTTGACTTCCAACTCTTTGTAATCGAAGTGTTGGGGTTGACCTGTAAATTAAATTTAATTTAAATTTTTGGATTTTTAATTTTTTAAATCTTGGACAATTAAAAACATTTTTTCATTGTTTTCATAATTTTTTATTTAAATAATTAACAACATTAACAATACTTAAATACCTTCTTCTCTGTGCTAGCCTTTGTGCAAGAGTTCCTCTTAATTCTAGTTCATCACAATTATCGTTAAATTGTTTTTCTGACACAAAACTTTGTAAAGGAGGGGCTGACTGTCCTCCATTAGCAACACAACTTTAAATTTAAAATTAAAAGACTAATTCTCTCCCCCCTCTCTTTCCTTACCGTCCACAAATTTTAATTGGAAGAAAGAGGGAACAAAAAGTTTGTCTATAACGTGAAGACATTAAACAATACAAAACAAAATTAACAGAAGAATTAATTAACGAAAGTAAATCCAAAACATCCCCCAAAGTTAAATAAATAAATCTGTGGACATCTGCCGTGTATATTGCGTTAAGTATGGCTATAAGGCCTTGGGGTAATTCTGTTAAAAGAAAAACACAAAGAATTGCTAATAAAAGGCCTGTTGTTCTGTCAGCATGCATTCTAAAAATAAATAATTTTTTTGGAATTTTTGAAAGAAAAAGAAAAACTTTTTGATTCCTCCATTTTGCCGTTGTTTTAAATTATCAACAGAATTCCTTCCATCATTTTTAGGCGAATCACTTAATTGTTTTAATAAAAGTTGACAACGTTTTTTCTCTGCTTGTTTAAGTCTTTGTAAAAGACTGGCACTGAGAATTAAAAGTAAAAGGCAGGGAATTACCTGAAAAAAGGGGGAAAATTTGACAAAAGTATTTAATAAATTAAATATTTTTATGGAAAATTGATAAAGTGTAATGGAAGTTCCGTTCTTATTTTTCTCCTTTGGACAAAATTTTGATTAATGCTTTGACTTAATTGAGAATATTCCTACTGCTAAATAAATTTTCTTTAATATATTTCATTCAAAACTTTCTTTACTTCCTTTATTTCCTTCTCTTATGTAGATTTAAATTAAATTTTATTTTAATTTAAAAAAATATTTTTGGGTAAAATAATTCCAAACATATTTCTTTACCTTAAAGCAAATCCCAGTAAGCCATAAATTAGCTTTAAAAAGCCAACATCCATTAGCCATTGCTGTATTCCTTATTATAATTGTAAAAATTGGTTCGCTATGATTTTTTGACAAAATTCCAGAAATAATTTTTGGACACAATAAAGAGGGGTGCCAATTAGCGTGGGGATATTTAATTACTTGATGAACTGCTAATGATGGAATACAAAGTAATAAAATAAAAAATATAACAGTTAAAGATGCACGTCTAGCTAAGGCTACTCTTTGCCATTTACTTTGAAAATAAATTAAATATTTTTAAATTTTTGTGGTAGGGGGGGGGGTAATTGATAGAGGTGGAGGGAAGGAAGAGGGGAAGAGGGAGGGGGAGTGGGAGTACAAATTTAGATTTACCTATAAAGTGTATTTCTATGTAAAGTCATTCTTCTTAAAAATGCCATTAAAACAGCTAACCAAAGTGTTGCTGTATGTAATACAATTGAAAGAAATATATGTAATAATAAATAATACATCCAAATATGTGTTTGGGTATTTGAACTTTTAATTAATTATTTAATTAAAAATTAAAATTAAATTATTACCATAAATTCCCTCCAAGCACAAAATGCCAAATATAAATTAAATAAGAGCCCATTGTCCCTAAATCACATAAAGCTACTGCCGTCTTTAAAAATTAATTTTCTTTAAATAATTTTTCTATTTATTTACCATAATAGAATTAACTGCTGATTGCCTCATTTGTGGTCTAGTAAGAACTACACAATGAATTAAATTTGTTATTACACCTTTAAAATTAAGTACATATTTATTTATTTAAAAGTAAATATACCAAAAAGACACAAAAATACACAAATTCTTCCATGAATTGGGGCATATGCTCTAAAAAATTTTTAAAAAAATTTTGATAATTTTTGGATTTTTTTTTACTTTTGAAATAAGACAAGTGAATGAATAAATTGTCTTGTAGAATTATTTTCAAAATTAAATAATGTCGGCTCGTTAGGACCACACTCCATCCAAAAATTTTTTAATTTAAATTTAAAAATAATTTATTTGACATTAAAATTAAATTAATTCTGAAAATAAAAATATATATAACTGTAAAGATTATTTATAAGAATAAAGGATATATAGAGGGATATACAATTAACAATATAATTATAGACAAATTAAAAGAAAAAAATCTTTAAATAAAAAATATTTTTAAAATAAAAACAATTAATTTAGGTACATATATTTATTTTTTTCTTCTCAAATAACAGTTGAATAAAAATGTGACTTAAAATAAAAAAAGAAGAATAAATTGACTACCTACTTAAAATACTTCTCTTCCTTTAATTTAATTTAAATAAAATAAAAATACATTTATTTATTTTAAAATTAAACAAAAAAATTTCCAAATTTTTTTAAATTAAAAATAAATTGTTTAATTAAATAAATATAATAACAGGGTGCGCATATATACATATTAATATTGTAAGGCCGGGTTCATCCTGAAATCACGTGAACAATAATGTCGCTCTAAACTTTGTGCTAAGTATCGGAAGTTCCCAGAGAAAGGTGCAAAGAATATTACAAACGGCCATTCCCAGAGAGTTATTAGCCGCCCATTATCTAAGCTAACAATCGACACTAACTTATCCTTGGGAAAGCAATAAGGAAGTAGGCTGGTGCATATAAGCCCTAAAGGAATAGGCAAAGGTGGATCACTTCTTCATTCATTCAACAGAGTTGCCGGCCGGCCAATCCATCGAGTCTTATAGGGAAGAGCTCTCCCTATATTCCCCCCTGCATGCGATAAACTTATTTCTATACTCTGCGGAGTTCACACATGATTGCAAGCATGCGCGACTCTGCTAATAACATCAGCAATACAACAAGGCACTGGGGAACGGGACCAACCGCTTTACTGGTAGCACCGGATGGTTCCTCACCTTTTGCCGTAAAATTTGAGTTAGGAATAGGTCGGGGAATTTTTAAAGATGGATTTTTATAATTTTTATTGTGCACTCAAAATCCGCGGTTTAATTTAATTTTGATGAATGAATAATTTTAAAGAATAATATTTTTTTGCGCTCCAAATCCATGGTACCCCATTTTTATAATAGAAATTAATATTTGAATGAAGATTTTAAAATATACGGGGGTTAATTTTAAAGTGATCTATCCTCTGCGGAGGCCATTTATGTTAAAAAAATTATATTTTATAATCAGTAAACCCCATTTTGATACTAGATTAATATTTGAATGAAAATTTTAGAAAATGTAAGGGGTAAATAAAGTGATCTAACCTCTGCGGAGGCCATATACATTTATAAAATAGGAAAACTAAGAGGAATACAACTAAATCAATTAAGAATTAATTCCAATGAAAAATATAAATTTTAATGAAAAGTATTCCTATACTCCGAGGAGGTCATTGAAATAAATAATTTAAAAAAAAACAAGAAAAATAGTTCTCAATTAGAAAATTCTTAAGAAATTGGCCCATTATTAATTATAAATTCCTATAGCTAGGGAAAATCTTGAGAGTTTATCTCAATTCCGTGTGAGAAAAATGCTGCGGCATTCGTTAACTATATTTTTATGAACATATTCATTCTATATTTATTAATCCTCTTGATTGTCTTTATTACTTTATTGCAAATGCATCTCGAGCTGTCAACAAAATGAATGAATAACTACATATTTCTCAATAAGATGCTCTATTATGTCAATAAAACTTGTTCTGCACCCCGCGGGGTTTTTCAATACCTATTATTTTTACTACGAGACTCTCAAAATGTAAATTTTCTTTAAAACTTCTCAAGAATTTCGACGAAGGTATTTTAAACATAATTAATTTTTTCACCTTCATTAGAACCTCAACAAAATTGTTCATTTAAAAAGTGTAAAAAAAATATTTTTTTCCTTTTCCAAAGAAATTTTTTTAAATAAACCTTTCTTTTCAACAAAATCTGTTCTTTTATTGATTTTTCCCTTTTTCATCTCATTAAAGAATATATAAGTTTATTAATTATGAATTAATCAAAACCCTGAGGGGTCCAATTATGTTTAATTATTTAAATTAATCAACAAAATTTTCAAATTTTATAGTTTATAATTGCAAATTATTGCACTAATTGCAAAAAGTATTGTTTGTAAAAATATTCTTATTAGTTTATTCTTTTCATATATTTTAATATTAAAATTCGGAAAAGTTTCATTTAAAAACAAGAAGAAAAAAGGTTTCAGTTATTTTCTATCACCCCGCGGGTTACAAGAAACTTCAATTTCATTTGATTAGGGAAATTTTTTTCAGCCTAAATTTACCATAAATATTTTAGTACATTTTTATTAAATTTTTACTAAAATACCCCAAGAATTTTGTATCTATTCTTTTAATTCATCTAAGGTTATAGGGAAAATCTCTTTATTATTTTCAAATTAATTTTATTAAATCACATTTTCCTAAAACAGATTTTATTGTAAAAAAATATTTTTAAGAGTATTTTTTTGTTGTATCCTTCGTTTATATGATGAAATTTATTCAAATATTTTTTTTTCTGCTAAGCATTTCTCTAGATGATAAAAGAAACGTTTCACTATTACTAGTTAGAATGTATATATATCATATACTTCCCTGCGGGGTCCATTTTTTCATAATTTTGATTTCCTTTTGTAATAATTTCAAAGGAATTTATATTTCGTTTATGTTATTCTATTCTTCAAATACTTTAACTGCTATAGAAACTCACTTAAAATCTGAGTTGTAAAATAATAAATCTATTCAATTTGGAATTTTAAAATAACAGTTATTTGATTATGTAAACAATTCCAATTAATAGTATATAGGTAAATAAATAGGTGCACAAAAGAAATAAGACTGATTTTTAGTTTATAAAAATAAACTTTATATTTGAAATAAAATCTAAAAATTTTTGGTGAACAAATAAGCATATTAAGAGTTTGGATGCACTGGCCTTTGAATTTTATCTAGAATCACCAAAATATCCTCAAAAATTTGGGCTAGATAGAAAATTGTGACGAATATAGATTATAGTATTCTAAACAAAATTCATAAGGTGTCTTAAAAGATAATGACACTTCAAATATTTTAACGGTTTAAAAGAAAAATACCTAAGTTAATTTTGGGAAAACAATTTGGGAAAACAATAAAATCAACTAAACTAAATAAAAACTCACAAAGATACAAAAACATAATCTAACCTCTGCGGAGGCCACTCAAAAATAGGGCAAAAATATGGCAAATGAGAAAATAGGGAAAAATAGGGCGAAAAGGTCAAAACTAGGGAAAATCCTCTATAAATAGGGTAAAGGGCCACTCTGATCCAGATATCTCAAAACAAAGGATCCCACAATCTAAACGAAAACTCAGTCTTAAATAACCTGCGGGTTTCTTTTACATTTTTGAATTATTAGATGACTCCCCAGAAATTCTTTCCGAAAGGAAAAACGTATCTTTCATAGCTTTTTCTCAAAAAATTCTATTGTTTTTCCCACTCTCTAAAATCACAATTAAAAAAATCTCTTTCCGGGCTCTACTATGAATCATATTTAGTTCTCCCGATACATTATTTTTCAGATATAGTTATTATAAAAATTTAATTCACAAAGAATTCGTACCTCTAAGACTCAAGACTTCTAAAATTAATTACCAGCCAAATAAACACAAAAAAATTTAAAAAATATTTTTGGGTCTGAAATTGTAGATTGAGTTTTTTTATAAAATAATTAGTGAAATTAAGATTTGATTAATTACTGTAATTTTCCAAAAATAAGAGAGAACCAAATTATGAATTTTTCATTCATCCTTATCTTATTTTTTATTTTTTCTTATGTTTTGTTTTTCTCGTATTCTACTTTTATACGTAGCCTCTCTTGGATCCTATTGTAATTTGCCTACCTGCGGGACTCTTTAACTTATACAGTTGTCTAATTTATCATTCTTCGCTTTAACCTGGGGCTGTTAATTATAAATAAATTTACAAAATCATTTTAAATTACATAAAGTTTTCGAATTAGATATCTAATTTACCTCCAAAAAAGATCAATCTGAGTGAAAATAAAACATTTTCACACGAGGATAAACAGAATTCCTTAGGTCTGCAAAAATAACCTTTATGTGGGTACTCAAAATACTAGTAGAAAAACTATTTTTCCCAAAATATGAACCAGTTTTAATTTATAACCTGCGGGTTCCATTTAATATTAAAATCTGAGGGTAGGCATTAAATTTTATCCCTTTCTTAAAAAATTTTTTTTTGCTAATTTTTTTATATTTTCAATCAGTCCCTCTCTAGACAACATATGAATTTTTTCTTCTTTGTGATTGCCTGTTTCCTTCATTTTTCCCAAAATCGAAAATATACAAAAATTTTTAGGAAATATTACAATATTTTTTTTTCTAGAACAAAGGTCATCAAAAAAATCTACTTTATTACACATAAAAAATTTTATTTTATTTATTTTTCTATTATTTCAAAAAATATTTCCCACAGGAATTATTACTAAAAGCCGCATTAATCTCTTCTCCGTGATCGGAAGTCAATTTTACAATAAAATTTTCTTACTTTTCATTATATAAACAATTCCCAGATAGTAAAAAAATCATATTACTTTTACGAACCTTCATTAATCTCACTTCTATAAATAAAAGATTAGTCAATGGGAAAGCTGAAACTTAAAAAAATCTGATATCTTAGCATTGTAATCTCATTTATATCCTATCACTCATTAATACCTTCATCATTGGTTTTCTCTTTGCTCTCTGAAATAATTTTTTCTAATTATTTATTTTATTTTCAGGTTTAAAAATCTTTTATTAATTCTATTCTCGACTTATTCAATGTCTTTTGATACTTATGAAAAAGGATCCTCAGATCCTTTCAGTGACAATTATCAAATCAAAACTCCTGCGGGAGCCATTAATGAATTAAAGAAAAATCCTGAGGGATTCCATTATATTAGTATGCTTTCGACAGAAAACGTTCCAACATTCGCAATTTTCTCGGGG